CGAGAACTTACGTTCCGTGTGTGCGTGGGAGACTAACATTATAACAATCCTTGCGCAAGAAATCACCCGTAACTACCTATTAGGTCTTCTGCCGTTCCGACGATGAGATCGACTTGTTTTATAAATCCTCGCTCGAGAGCAATTTCTAGTCCCGCACATGGTAGGTCAACGTCAACGGGTTAGGAAGCGGTGTCGCGTACATGTACCTTCGGACTGCCGCGGATCATTGCGAGATGGCCAACCCCAAAGCCGAGGAAGGCCCAAGCATTTTGCACAGGTCACCGAGACATCCCTGGCCCATTTCGACATCGATCGAGCCCTTGCCCAGCTGTCAAGGTGTGTAAAATCGGCGCCAGAGTGACAACGTGTCGCGAGGCAAGCGCACAACGCGGCTGCGGGACAACAACACCGCGAAGTACCTAACCGGCTAGCTGTGTGCCATACACCAGATACACACGCTGTAGAGTCTACTCTGTACTGTACTCTGTAGTCGTGGTAGTGTAGTAGATCTACTACTACATGATTGTAGTAGTACGTAGGGGTCTACCATGGCCTACATCACATGTAGGGGCTATGGCGCTAGGGAGCTGAAGCCCAGTGAAGGAGTTCCAGTATCCGCGAGTACAGACAGTAGCATGCGCTCCATCGATGGTCCAGTCCAGGTTGTTGCTGAGATTTTGTTTTGTATCGCAGACCAAACCGACAATGATCATGATGATACCCTATGAGTATAATTATGATTATGATGGCAATAAAGTCGATCTAGTGTATGTATGCGCTGGGCATAACCCGGCCATCAATGAGTGGTGTCAGTGAGATCTCCACTCCACTCCACGTTCAACAGTTACTGCACTCTGCGGACCGGGATTGATTGGTCATGCACAAACCCATACTTGATATTATCTGCCTATGTGGCAATTACATCATGACTTACATGAGTGATCGAATGACCAGGATGATGCCACAGCAGCCATGCAGTCACAGTGAGTAGATGAAGGTCGATGCGCTTGGCCAATTGGCAGTGCTCGCTTTCTGAAGCTGATGAAGTCTCTGATCTGGGATGCAGAACTGAACAGTGCTGTCAACACTACCAATGCCCACAGCTAGTGTCAACAGCATGTCAAGTACTGTTACAACACCAGTACTGGCAGTAGCCTGGTTATGGGTCAGCTGTCAGAATGACGTCAGCTGCAATAACGGACCAGATGACTTGTCCAACCCAGGGGCAGAGCCCAGTGCGCAGACATCCGGGTAGGCTGACAATCTTCGCTACAGTACCATAACTGGCATAGGGTCCAGGACTTCGGCTTCTGTCTCGAATGGAGTATACTGTGATTAGCTACCTTCAGCTTCTGATGGTGCCGTTCCGTAAACAAGGTTTGGAGCCAATGCTATGTTGAGTGTCTCGGGTTGGGGTATAGAGTACAAGGCGGCTATCACCAGTAGTATAATATTAATACCATACAACAATTAGCAATTGATCTGAAAGTTTCTGAATGCATGGTGATCAAGATTCAAGAAGGTTCATTGTAGCCTAAGGCACTGCTAGTTTCTGCTGCTGGCAATGGTGGGAAGTCCATGGGTGACTTGGAGTGTGAGTCTACAGCCAGTACCCAGTCACATTGAGTTAGCTGACGGCACATTGAATGATGATTGTGTTCCCTGTAGACATGGCACTTTCGTAGGGTGAGGAGAATAGGGTCCTGCATGGTACATGGTAGCAACGACTTACTGGCTACGTGTGCTATGCTGGTGCTTCGTGTTCTCATGTTCACGGTTGTATGCACCATTGTTGTGTACCAACTCTACCGAGCGCATAGTACAGCTGTAGCCGTAGCTTGTATGGTTGGAAAGAACTACATGGGCAGTATGTACAGCATAATATCTACATGACAGGAATCCCAAGCACTCCACCAGTGCAGGTTCTTCTCCAACGCTATCATGCTGTAGATCTCCGATTGCTGCTACAAGCATGAATGGTTCTGGGTGGTCGAACACGGCGGCTTGTTTCAGACTCAGAGGGTGACAGGGATGGGCAGGGTAATTGCATCGACAGGGATGGGCAGGGTAATTGCATTGAAATTGTTATCTGAGTCGGTATGATCTTTCAGAGACACCCTGTCTGATCCTGATCACAAGAAGAGCAGAGTAAACTGATTCCACTGATGCATGTTGTACTTGAAGTGTGGCTGGCAGCCATGATGGCACTGAGCAATGGTACTATGGGGCTGACACTGACGTTCTGCAGAACATGATCTGCACTGCTCAAATGAATCCTTATCACGGAGAATGATCTTCAGATAATATTGGCATGCATACTGTGAAAGAAAGCATGGGTCGGCATTGGGAGTTGCGGCGCAACAGCTTAGTGAAAAGAGGCATTGCAGATGCTACACATGCAAGGAACTTAGGCTACTTGACGGTACAAAAAATAAGTGGACTGCAATGGTGGAAGATAAGTACTCTTTTGGTTGTATCCACAGGCAGTATCTAGATTACCTCGTGAAGTAGCCAATGCATCAATAGCATAGCAGTACATGTACACGTGATCTGAACATGGCTGTGAACAGTTCTAATTACTGGTGTGAGAACTCTTATCTAGAATTTGTACCTTATCGGAGTTATCTGAGTTATCCGGATGACGGGCCGTGTCAAACCATGCATACTTTCCAGACGCAGCATGTCAATAGCGCTGTGTGTACAATGAATGGTGCACATGCTGTGCTGCTGTTGGTTCATGATTGCCGGACTCACAGTTGTGTTGTGAACGTATTTTGAAAGCAGCCACTGCTACAGTACCATGTTTATTAATTAATTGGAGAGTCGTAATTTCATAACTTCACAGTATGTCCTGTGTACAGTGTTCTGCAGTTCCAGTTGATGGTGGCATGCAGAGTGTAGTGTAGTCTGCACTACTGTCAACTGTCAGAAGCAGCAGGTTGAACACCAGCAGGCTGTCACAACAACAACCTGACACGATGTCTGTTAACGTTTTGCTGCTAGCAGTTCACTGTTACTTCCTTGCTTACGCTAGTCAGTTAGTGCGTACACACTGCTTGTCTGTTGGTGATGTGCTTGTTGACGGTGGTGATGTGTTTGTGTGCACGCTTCTCTGCGTGATAAATAGTGGTGATGTGGAAGCCAAAAACATGTACTACGTAGTACGGTAAATGAACAAGGGAACCTGGCTTTACAATAGGCATAGTATGAATGAGTTGGAAACATACCTTGACCGGGGAGAGTGTATTCAGTTCGTGTGCCGTCTTTCGGGCAGCGTTCTAGGCAGATGTTCTAGAGGAACCCAAAAGAGAATGTGTGCCGCCAGTGTGGCGATATTTGTTTGTGCATGCTCGGCTTGTCTGGCATCTCTTGCTGCGGCCGTAGCATTCATATGTGTTGCTAGAATCCAACGTTGCAGAATAACGGTTATGTTGATGTTTTCTTAGTAAACCAACATAGTACAGATGCCAGAAACGCCTATTCTTGCCTCTTTTCCAGAGCTCCGTTCACGAAAACACTGATGCCAACTCCGAGAACATGTATCACCATGCCTGGTCAATTCTCATTGCTCAGTTCTGCATCAATCTGTGCTGCACAGCCCATTCCAGTAGACCAGACTTACCAGGTTACCACCCTAGTCGAATACCTCTGTGTATATCTACTATTATCTAGGGCCGTGGCATAGGTGTCCCGGAGCGGCAAAGTCCCAAGATCCATACTGGCCAAGTAGTAGTAGGCAAGTACTCCTGGATGTGGCATGCAGGTCACCAATTGCCAATGTTTGCCACGTGAAGCACAAGGCTGCTGACCGGGGAGTCGGCGTGTTGTAATTGGTTGGAAAGAGTCAAAATACCCTTTTTGCCTAGTCATCATCTACCTTCATCAGCTTAGTGTGAGGATAGATTGGAACTCTATCCACCAGGGCTGTTCTACTTCATGAAGTGCAGTGGATGCGTGTATGGCTTGGTGCATTTCTGATGACCGCATGCTTGTTGCCGGCTTGGAAAGATGGAAGACGACGGCATAGCAGCATGTCACCCGGATTGGTAGTGAGCCCGTGCTGAACATGATACCATGCACGTGAAGCAGCTCGAGGAGCACGGGATAAACAAGAGAGGACATTGAACTCATCACTTTGCTGGAGAATATGGAGTGTGTGTGACAGGCAGCGTGGACAGGTTCCCACTCTCAGCACAGCTAATTGACAAGTGCAGTCAGATTTACGACAACCAACTCGTGTCTACTGTCTGCTCGCACTCATCATGGCAGCTCGGCTTGTTTTGTTTACACCCTTATTAGGCAACGGAGCAGCGTGAGCAGCGTGCTATGACGCAAAGCTCAGCTGCGTGACTACAACACTACAATCTGCTTTGTCTCTGAGCTTTGGGAACACAAACGTGTACACCTTACGCATGTCTCAGCTCTGTCACTCCAATGTCGTTAACGGGCTGGATTGGACTCATCAAACCTTACCATGATGGAACACTGGCCCTGGGAATCATTACCACAAGGAATGGCAAACCAAGGTCACCACCGTCTTCGGCAGACACCGCCAAAACCACTCAGCTGCCAAAAGTACAATCGCCTGACCAACACCATCGGCATTCCAAGACGCGCCGCAACGGCTATCTACCGTAGTGCTAAGAGTAGTATTTACTTCAGCACATTGGTGAAATATCTTTACCATATACACCGTGTCACCCAGTCAACTCACACGCCAGCATTCTATGGTTCTGACAAGCGCACAAGCTGTAAAATTGCTTGTAGGTAGTTCCACAACAAATGAAATGTCATTCAATGTTGATCAGATGTTCCTTTAACAATAACCGATTTGGCCAGTGACCGCGTGCTGTCAGACTCGAATCGTATGAAGTAAATAGAACAAACGGAACATGACGCGGCTCTCTGTATTCCTTCACGTCTTGTAGCTGCATAGTGCATGTACACAGAGTTGCGAACTCACCCTGTGTGTTTCTCTGCTCTGTGCCTTTTTCTCACAGTGAGCCAGTGCGTGATACACCAGTGTCTGTTGCGTGTGCTACGAATCTAGCCGGTAAGGATACTTGTCACGGCGCCGCTTCTGTTTGCCATTCTGTGCTGTGCCAAACTCCTATCATGCAGTAGGTGGCTGCTAGATTTCTGTCCCCGGCGGTACATCATTCCAGCGGCGAGTGTGTAGGCAAAGAAGGGGTGAGAGCCACCAACATCGACCCTATAGAGGTTGCAAATGTCATGGTGGCGAGCCAGCGAATTCGTTTACGGCTGCTAAGTAAACAACACGAGTCAGAGCTTTCGTTTTCGCTGTGCTGCGACTTTTGCCATTCCATACAATGCATCTCAACTGATGATGCACCGACGTAACCTCTATTGTGCCCTTATCTATATGTGTACACGCCCGTAAGGCTCCATGACCAGGTGTATTGAGTACTCTCTTGAGCCAGCACAACTCGTTGCTCCAAGCGTCTCGATCTGTATTGTGTGTGTGTATGTGTGTGTGTGTGTGTGTGTGTGTGTGTGTGTGTGTGTGTGTGTGCGTGTGTGTGCGTGTGTGTGTGCATGCGGTACATGTTCTCGTGTGTATTCAGATGGCGCCCGGCTGTACGTGGTCTTCAATCAAACATCGGTTGAGGCACGGGTTGGCGCCAGCACAACCACAGTCTACTATGACATCATGGAGGTCGGCGGCGATGCAAACATCACGTGCTCGGCAATGTCACTACACGCTGGCAATCAGTACAGAGGGGAGAGTGAGTACACGCAGCCAGGCTCTTCATCTTTGGTCTTCACTAGCTCACCGCGGGTTACTGCTTACACCACGAAGAGTACACGACTCCTGAGAGTATGCAGCACCACAGAAAACTCCTCCACGCCTCATTTTCAGAATTGTCATATTCTGTATGTTATCCGCTTGATTGCACATAAAATTGCATGGCGCATGGTTGACCCCTCGTCTCGTAGTATGCATAGACATGTAGCTGAGTACATCATGAGAAACGATGGAATTCTGACGTTTGATGCTACCCAATGCCATTAGCACACTCAAGGGAGTTCTGTTACTTCTGCATTTACACAAACCTGCCACCAAGTACGCAATAAGCTGCCCAGTCCTGGGGGGTTGGAAGAAAACCATACATAAAAATATAGAATTGTGTTTGCTCTCCAAGAGCTGACTGAAACAAGGCGTAGGGTGCAAAGGAATCAGTGCTACTTGTAAAGCACTACAGTGTCAGACTACACACTTTTGTTTTAAACCTTTTATTAAAAAACAAAAACACTACCAGTGGATCATGAAGGAAAGGAGTCAGGAGAGAAAAGAAGCAACTGATGCCGGATTGGGGCCACACAAGGTGGCTGCACTGCTGTACTACACATTCTCCAGTGGAACGCTCCTGCTTAGTAGTCACTAGCATTCCAGTACATGTACATGTGCTGTACATACCAGTACAGCTAAGTGTGTGGGCAGATGTATCATTTCAGTGCAGGTACATGTACTGCACTGAGTCCCCGCTGTATGATATGCCTGATCGACTTGATGTACCGGCGTGTGCTTCTCCTTCGCTCTGTTCTCACTATAACTGCAACATCATCCCACCCTGATTTACAACTACAACATCACCTCACCCGGGTCTACAGGTGTGACGGTATTGGTGTCCAGCCGAGAGCCTGCTCTGCACGTATTCCCGCCGAGGTTCGTCTTGCGTCATCCCGCTGCCAGGGTCGGAGGTGTGCTGACTCTGAGCTATCTACCGGTGCTGGAGATGAACGTAACGGCCGTGTGCGCTGTCCTGGATGCGGATATTGCCATGACGCTGCCCAGTGAGGCGGTTTGCAGTGTTCTGGTGGCCGGTAAGCCTCTTGAACTGGATACATATATGTCATGTACAGTACTGGCATGGTGCTATATATCGAGGTTCAGCATCATCAGTTAAAGTTTTATTGTGTATTGGTTGTTGTAATTGCCTTCGCGAATACTGACACGGTGCTGATCTGACATCCAGTACAGTACAGTACATTTGTACGTGTGGCAAGCAGGTACAGATGGAGGAAGTCACATTGTTTCCTAGTCCCAGAATAGAGCGTCGGCAGGCTGACAGCAAGCAAACAATTTTCATTGACATCAAGTCCGACGTTTAATAGTTCCGTATAAAGTCTAAATGCATGTTTCAATGTGAATGGAATGGCAATCCGTTGTTGTACACGTTGCTAAGTGCATTGGCATTATGGGGGCTTTGCTTTGTCTTTCATTACTGTTCAGCTGTTGCGGACGCTGCAAATAGAGACACCACTACACCGGTAACAGCCTTTCCAGTTACTGCACCGTTCTCGCCCACTCAGAGCAGCTTCACTACCAGCACAGCCCCGGCTACCAGTGACGTACCAGTAACACTAAACCTGACGACGGATGCAGGGCTGGGAGTATACATTAACGGCAACAAAACCATCGCCAGCCTGTCGTTCTTGCCCGGTAGCCAGTCCGTGACGTTCACACTGACAGCAGACGCCCAGGAGGCGACCAGCCGGCGTCGGGCAAGCCTGAGTCTGTTCTGCTGTTCGCCTGCGTGTCCGGACTGTGCTGTGAACCGCTTCAATGACACTGTTGTACAGGTCAGTGTCGAGGTGGAGATCTCCGAGAGCTACAACGCCACAAGCCTAACAGGTATGCACCAAGCAATTCACCAAAGGTTTCTCCAACACATCCACCTTGCATTCCTCTCACTGAGCACGCACACACACACAATAGCTGTTTAGACCTCTGAACTCATGATGAGCAAAATCCAAATATTGAGCTGTCTTCGAGTTGCTTAAGGTAGAAGAAACCATCACTTTTCAACACACAAAAACCATGCTGGACTACGATTGCAGGATACATGTACACGGAGCACAAGCGCTGCCGAATAATTGGACAGGAGAACTTCATCTCAACCATGCTGGACGACCTACAAGTACATGTAGTACATGTACGAGTATAATTATACGGACATGAGGAAGAAAAGGATCCGCATGGTTGTAGTTGTAGAGGCTCTTGCACTGCTACATGCTGTTCATGACGTGTATGTAAGTATGGTCTCTAGTAGACTCTCTACATTGCTTTTCACACGCTTCTCAAGAGAGGAGCCATGGCATATCCTTCTGGAGAGCGTTTGTAGACTGAATGCGGTGGCTATTGCCTTAGACTGAATGCGGTGGTGGACTTGGCTATTGTCTTTCTCGATCCTCATTGCAGAACAAATAAACGCACTGCGGGACAGTTCAGGGTGCATATGTGACCTGACAGCGGGGGTGTGTGACTTGCTGTGCTGCTGCGATGCGGTAGGTGTGGTACAAGATGTAATATGACCACTTTAACATTTCTGCTTCACGCGCACGCGCGCATGCACACACACGCCGCATTTACCCCCGAGGCCAACTGGAATTGGTCCGATGTTGTTTAGTATCATTAGTAGGGGTGAAAGTTGGCACTGAGATCCCGAGTTCGAGTACTCTGATATTCTCCGATCGAATATTCGAGTATTCGAGTATTTTTCATCTCCTAACAATTGCACACCAAGGGCTTTAAAATAACATGATACAACCCTGATCGAACCGAGTAGCAGTCATTTTTCTCGGGTATATTGGCTGGTGGATCATTTGGGCTCTCTCCACTCGTGAACAAATGTTCACCACACAGTCTGCACATCACCATCTGCCGACTACTGCTCTGAAACTGCAGACTTCTGCAGTAAATGCATGTACCAAGTATGAACGAGTACTCTGATTTATTCCAAGTACGATTATTTTTGAAAAAAGCGAGCGAGTATTCGAGTACTCGGTATAATTGTTTCACCCCTAATCATTAGTGTTGTGTGCAAATGACACCCCTGCTACTTTTTCTCTGTCAGAGTGAGGTTCCGCACAGTAGAAAACCCCTTTAATACGCATTTCTCTTCCTCATGTCAATTTTAGTCAAGTGGAGAACACTATGACACATTTGTAAGTTCGTACTGTAGATGAACATTGAAAGTTGGAAGTACATGTAAGTTGATTTCAACTCCAGTTGCGGTCACGTGTTCTACATCGAATTCAGTGAATTCCGCCTGCTGTATGTTCTCGTTACAGGACTGTAGTGCCGAAGATCAACAGCTCGTATCCACCTGTGCGCCGAGTGCAGCCACCGAGCAACAGACTCTCAGCCAGAGCTGCTCGGCCGTGGGCAGTGCGGCGTGGTCGGACTGGGATCACGTTCTGTGCGTGCAGACCGACAACAACCCAGACAACGGCGTCACGTTCAGCAGTGTTAGCACGGCGGACACGAGCGCAGAGTTCCGCAGATCACGCACGGGGCGTATTTCAGCACAAACCGGCGCACACGCGTCGAGTATTGTAACAGAATCCTCGCTGAATACCGGCTACTATCATGGCCAGGTGCTGCTGACGGGTGCTAGCCCACTCACGGCTGCGCCCACGGTGTTTGCACTGCCATCCTCTAGTGGTAGTAATGCCGGTTGCTTTGAACACTCGCCAGTTCAGTATCTCGTTGACACACGCTCACACTGCACTAGACTGGTGTCGGAAGCACAGTGTGGACCGGCATCACCGCTGGACGTACGGCGACTCTTCATGTACAGCACAACGGCATCGTCCTCGTCGCCGCAGCCTGCAGGAAGTCAAGCGTGTCGCAGCTACCCGGGCCTGCTGAAAACGCCGCTGGATCGCACGACACTGGCACCAGTGTGTGACGTCAGTGTGACAACGTGTGTGAACGATAGGATATCACGACCGGCGCAGCGCCTCAATGACATTGCCTTGGCCACCCTTGCAGACCTAGGGCAGCCATCAGTGGAGAACGTCAGCATGGCCGCCGAATGCACTGCTACCCAGCAGGGCTTAGATCCGGTGTACAATGCAACTAGCAACACATGTGATAACGTGCTGCTCGGCATTACCTACACTCTGCAATGGCGTGCTCGACAAGTTGAGTCTGTGTCGATGGCAGCCACCCTGGGCAGTGTGGCAGTAGGCAGTTACGTACAGCAAACGTTCGCTGTCCAATTTCGTTCAGTGCCAGTGGCCGGTGAAGTGTGTACACCGGACGCAGGTGTTGAGTCTCTCTCGGGTAATCCCGGCTACCAGAGAGGCATGTCACTACGCCTGGGTCAGTTTGACTCCACTGGCACAGTCCTATCTGACGTCAGCCTGACAGGGCTGCTCACATGGAACAGTGCCAGAGCAGCACAGTCACTCTGCTCGCAGTCGTCTCAGCAGCCTGTTCTCTTCGGAATGGACCAAACGTCCGGCTGCCTACTGCATGTCTCTGCAGCCGACATACAGCAGCGCTGCAAGAGCTTGCGAGAACAAGTGTTGTCGCTGCAGCGGTCACTGGTTAGCGCAACCTACGCTGCCAAGACCGGGAATGCACCGTTCACGTACAGCGCCAGTAACTGGGCAGACATCATACCGTAAGTATACGCATGCATCCACTGGGCGTCCGCACATTCAGTGTGGGCAAGACATTCATTGGTCATTGTTGTGAACCCTCTGGTTCTCTAAAGTATCAGGAACGAACGACCCCACACGGCACGAGGACAACTATTTATTCTCAACAATATCTTTCACTTCCATCGACTAATAACAATGAACAATGAATGGAACAACTGAATGAACTGAAACTAACTGAATAACTAACACTAAAACTACCAGGTAGTTATAGCGTGAAAATGACAGCGTATATGAGAAAAGCATACACATACAACATACAACTACAGCGCACTCAGCAAACCGTACATAGCGCCTGTAGCGTATGCCACGTCGTAAACATCAGCGGTACGGCGGAGTCGGGATACAGCTGCATTGAAGCGAACACAATGTCACAAGCGAGAAGGCCTTTCACTCTCGAGAACTTGTCGTTTCACAACATTCTCCCCACCAAAGGGCTTCTCACCGCCGTACAACAACTCACAAGTCAAACGATTTGTGGCTTACTACGCTTCATCTGCTGCTGCGGTGGTGGCCATGGCAGAATATCACTAATGCCCACCAATTCAGAAAACTCGACATCGCGAAGCTTGCCGCTGTGGACTGTCGCACACAACACTGTCACTGATCCACTTCGACATGGGGCAGACGCTGGACCAGACAACACACCACCGATAATGTCATAAAGCTCGACGATGTGGGCTGTCACACACGACATGGTCACCGGTACACTGCTTCGACCCGGGGCGGGCGCGGAATCCGAGGACACACATCGGATCTCTGTGTTCCACACAGTCTCGCCGCTTACATCTTCCGTGCTAACCAGTAGTATCGCCCTTCTCATTTTCTCGGCTTCTACGCCTTGCGTTTCTAAGTCTTGCGCCTCTAACTCTTGCGCCTCTAACTCTTGCGCCTCCAACTCTTGCGCCTCCAACTCTTGCGCCTCCAACTCTTGCGCCTCCAACTCTTGCGCCTCCAACTCTTGCGCCTCCAACTCTTGCGCCTCCAACTCTTGCGCCTCCAACTCTTTCGGCCGAGACTCCAGCTGCTTCTGAGCGTCTCCGACCGATGTCGCCATGCACTGTACCGATCCAGTGGGCCTCGGATCTGATCCTCCCACTGGCTTCGAATACTCTTCTGACCGCTGCTTGTCTGTAAGCAAAGTCTTACACGCCTTGTCCGGCGTCCTTCTGGGCGAGGCAAGCAAATCTCGCTTTGCTTCCTCATAATATGTACTGACGGCGATGCGCTCGGCCATCTTCTTGAGCTTTTCGTTAAACTCTGCGCGGAGCGCACACTCTTGCCGTCTAGCACTGCGCTCTTCAAACTCCTCGCTCTGTCGGAGCCTCTTCTCCACGTATTCTCTCAACCTATCGCCTTCAAATCCATACCGAATTCCGTTGGCGATAAAGCTGGCTTCGATGATCCATAGTTCCTGTGCCATGCTCGCTTCGTATCCTGGCGTGGTCGCCAAATGTTGTGAACCCTCTGGTTCTCTAAAGTATCAGGAACGAACGACCCCACACGGCACGAGGACAACTATTTATTCTCAACAATATCTTTCACTTCCATCGACTAATAACAATGAACAATGAATGGAACAACTGAATGAACTGAAACTAACTGAATAACTAACACTAAAACTACCAGGTAGTTATAGCGTGAAAATGACAGCGTATATGAGAAAAGCATACACATACAACATACAACTACAGCGCACTCAGCAAACCGTACATAGCGCCTGTAGCGTATGCCACGTCGTAAACATCAGCGGTACGGCGGAGTCGGGATACAGCTGCATTGAAGCGAACACAATGTCACAAGCGAGAAGGCCTTTCACTCTCGAGAACTTGTCGTTTCACAACAGTCATTGTGAACATGCAGTGCGGGCAAGACATCCACTGGGCATTGTGAACATTCAGATCTAGCAGCTGAGTTCACGTACTGAGAATAAGAACAGGACATGCAAAGAAGGAATGCAAATCAAACACTTGATAGTATAACTTCGCATAAGGCCAGATTGAGTTATTACAAGCATAGTCTAGCGCAGTGCAGTACAGTGAGCTAAATTGAATCACCACATGAGTTTGAATAACATGGTGACATTTTCTCCGATGGTCCCAGTTTGGTCACACCGTCGAGCTAGATTGCGGTAGGGGCGTTGTGTAGCGCCATATTCTCATCCTGTCCACCATCCACCCTGTGTACTCGTAGCTGCATCCTTGTGCAGGAGATTGAGTAGCTGTGTGTGTGTGTGTGTGTTTGCATGGCCGGTGCAGTACATCACTGGACTTAAATGCATCCTCAGAGGCAGCAGCAGCAGACCTGAGCCCTACCACAGCAGCACCAACACCAGCCAGCAGTAACGCTACCAACGTAACCAGCAGTGGCAACATCACTCAGCTGAATGGCGTGTGCAGGCAGGTTCCAAGCAGACTGGTCACGACTGTTCTGTACGCATCCGTCGGACGCGACACCAACTTACAACCAAGATACCAGATTGTGGCAGTCAGCACAGAGTAAGCTATTTCAGCACACTGTACTGGATTGCACTGGATTGTTGGGATCATCCAGGGCATCCACAGCCACTGTAATGCATTGTGCATCAGTTACTGCATTGCAGTGGCTGGTTTGTTAGGATTATCTAGGGGACGTACCTCTCCCCGTCATGCACATACTCCGGGGCTATACGTAACAAGATCATGTGTCCTTCATACATAGCATGCCACTGCATTGTGTGTTGTAGTGCAGCATTGGGGCAAGCAACAGCACTATGGTTGTGGACTGGTGTACACACCGGTAGCAAACTACACGTAGAGAGTCAAAAGCAGTGTGCATGCGTGTGTGTGTGTGTGTGTGTGTGTGTGTGTGTGTGTGTGTGTGTGTGTGTGTGTGTGTGTGTGTGCGCTGTGGTTCCTAACCATGGTTTTGGCTGACAAACTGTCAATGTCTTCATCTCTCTTCTCGGTGGTTTGCATGCGTCTGCTGCTGCTGCTGCTGTTGTTCACAGCATCACGGCTGAAGACTGGCTGTATCCGTGCCCAACTGGAATGTGCAGCGACAGTTCAGACGATAACCTGACCCATCTATTCGAGATCGGCAGCCGCGTGCAGTTCATTCAGATTCCCAGCAATCCCACTACGCTGAAGAAAAGGTGAGCGGAACAGCCACTCTCACTCTCGCGTGGTATTACATCAGCATGCTAGTGACTCTTGAATACTATATCTCAGTAGCCAGTCCACGGGTATTTTGTGCTTGGGTACACACTAACCAGTTCCATGAGCTGTGTCAACGTAGAGCTAGTACATGTATGACCAATTAGCACTCACAACACATCCCAGAATTGGCCATTAAGCCACGGCAGCAGCAGCAACAGCAGCTTGTAACGCAAGTTGGCAACGGCGTCAAAGAACACAGAGCAACCCTTTCTTCTTCTTGAAGCTTTACACAGCGCACACCTCTTTCTTGAATTCAATTTGTACAGTGGGATGTCCCCGCTTGTTTTTAGGCTGGGAGTCATGAGAACTGGTGGCGTAATATACAGTTATTGTGTGATCTGTTCCTGGTGTTCTCCTGCTCAATCCCTACAGTGACATTAGCTTCACGCAGCAGGACCCGTGCCGGTACGACACCTGCACCGAGCACGTCTTCTACCCGCTGACGGATTTCTTCTGGAGCTCGCTGGCCGGCCAGGACAAGTGGTTCACGGCTGCCACCACACTGCTGGCCGTGTGCGGAGGCACGGCGGTGCTGATCCTGAACGCAAAGTGGCGTCCGCCAACACTGGCTGTCACCGGCGGCGGCATACGTAGATAGTGGACCAGAGCGAATGTACACCCGTACACTGTGAAGGAGACTGTGACGGGTCAACAGAATGCTATAGGCTGCATGGAGAGAGCCACACAATGCAATGAGTAATCCCAAATGACCTGTAACAGGCACACACACTCATAGATAGTGGACGGGAGCGATTGTACACACGTACACGGTGAAGGTGCCTGCGACTGTGACTGGTCAACATGATATGCTATAGGCGGCATGGAGAGTGCCACACAATGCAATCCAATGAGTCCTAATGACCTGTAACAGATAGTCAACAGCATATCAACATCGCCGGCTTCCAAGTTGAGTGGGTGCTATGGATGCTATAAATGCTGCGGATGCTGTGTCGACCATGTGCACCCCTACACCGCAGGCACACAGCTCTGACATCGCGGTGACAAAACATTGCAAGACAGCGAGCTAGAGTCACATGCCCAACAAAAGCTCCGGGAGCTTACAGCTTGCTCCTGTACCATACAGCCAATACCTATGCTATGGTTGGAGAAGGCTGGTACAGTGGACTGGTGGCACTTAGCAAGTCCAATACGGTGATGATGCTTCTGATCCGCTGTAGCTGGAACACAGTAGCTATGCTTGCAGAATCTGCGGTACACTGAATGTGCCATGGATCCACTCATCTTGCTACTGGGTCTGCACGCCCCACACACAGGCACACACTATAATGTGGTGGTGCGCTGCTATGACGAGCAGATGTGTGCGCGTGTGGTCTCAGTGGTATGAAGACAGCGCGAAAAGCCAGCTAGCCCTGATCACCAAGCGCAAGGTTGGCTGTCTAGCAAGTCAGCCTGCCTGCCTGGCTGCAGCAGGTACATGTATACCTGCAGTACTATCAGTGTTGATTAGAACTACACAACTGGATGTACTAGTAGATGATAAAGTTGAACACATGTGCACAGGATGCATGCCGCCATTCTATTTGTGACAAAGCAGCAAAGACAACAACACACATGGTGTTGGGCTTCAGTTCAACATACTTTTTATAATCACCTCACAACAAACGCTATGCAGAAGAAAAGAGGAGGCAATGATTCAAACAGATCTTTACATGCACCTTTGGCTACACATCTTCCCAGCAGGCTGCCAGTTACTTTTATTTTTTTTATAGCCGCATCTAATATTTCTCCCTATAGCGATGGCCTATAGCCACAGCATCCCTGCCTTTTTCTACCTCCCCTGCTGTCCATCAAACAATGTGCTCAAGAGATTGGGCGTGAGAGAAGAGTAACACACGTTAAAGCAAAACCGTAAAGAGAACAGAATCATGAGTGTTAAAACAGTGTATGTACACCGGAATAGGTAAATACGTACATGTACGTCAAAGAAGGCAGACTTGGTTAGGACAACAACTCGTGAGAAACAGGATAAAAGGCAACGGCGAAAACATTACAATGAATGATGAGCTAGGTAAGAGCTGGAAAATTGGAAAATTGAGAAACAGTTCAAAACGACGTGGAACGACCTATTGCAGTCCAGTCACCTAGTACCTCTCAACAGCCAAACACATGCGCGCACACACACCCCTGTACTCTGTGTGGATATAAATAGAAAACTTGTTAAAACATAAAACAAGAACATAAAACACTTAAGACGTTTGTCACCAAGAACAAAGATGGATTGACAACATAAAAGATAAAACACTTAAAGCTACGCATTTGTCACCCAGAACATAGACGGGTCCGTTAGAAGAGCAAAGGCAGACATGAAAAGAACTGTCTGGAAAAGCAATAGAGAGTGCAGCGAGCGAGTCTTTGAAGGCAATAGCTATGAAACGTGATTGCGCCTATTCGTTTTCGTCGGCATATCGACAGGGTATTGCGTAAGACTACTGTCACCAGGCTGTGTTCATGGGTCTCCAGGAAGCTGTGCATGTGACTACACTTACGCTAAGAACTACATCACACTTCTACGCCCTGGTTTTCTCTCTAATGCCGTTGCTAAGCCTCACAGCCAACGATGACATGAACTGCAAACTCACGTGAGATGCGCATTCATGCCCAGCTACTAGTTAGGCACAGCGTAGGTAGTCTTGCCCAACTCGTTGATGACGCAGATATGCTATACAGAGAGGCAGGGGAAACGCAGGCACAAAAAGCAAACGGAGGGTCAGCTGGGCACATCAGCACTCCCACAGTCACCACGCATGCAAAGCCTACTTCGGAAGTAGAAGGCATGACCACCAGATATGATCACAAACTCACAATGACTGGAGAGAGAGAGAGAGAGAGAGAGAGAGAGAGAGAGAGAGAGAGAGAGAGAGAGAGAGAGAAAGAGAGAGAGACAGACAGAGAGACAGACAGACAGACAGACAGACAGTGTGTGTATGTGTTTGTGTGTGTGCGCACACACACACATACTTGCACGTATGTCGTAAAGCCAGATGTAAAACGCCCAGACACACCACCCGTACGCATCCATACGTCATCTAAGACTGTAGTAATTGTTGGACTGATCCTAGGCATCATTCTCAGTTTGCTACTACATGCACCGGCAATACTTACATGGAGGTCACGGAAATACTCGTTGTAGTCCTGAACAATAGAAAAATTACACAGCAGCAAAGTACGGCAAATTAGCTACTGAAGTACTTGTACATGGAAGAGTCAACAATTAGTTTCTACACCCCATATCATGACATGCCTGTCACAGGTACAACATCCAAGACTCAATCAACACTACTAGTCTAAAGAAGGATCGCCTGTATTAAAACGTAGTTTTGATAATGACCGATTACATCATTATCTCAATCCCCACACCGTCATCACAAGCAACAGATGTCTTCAGGATAGCAAATTCCCTCATACAGCTGCTTCGATCTCTCAGATCATATCAAGCCAGGTAGATATAGTTGAATAGGGAAAATAAGCACTAATTAACCGTTCAAAGTAATGGAATTTGAAGTTTTCCCAATCCTTTCAAAATTTACTGTTCAAATATATTAAAATTGCATCACTGCACGTTATCCAACTTACCAGGGCATAGCCAACCACAAATTTGTCGGGAACCTCAAATCCAATGTCTACAGAAAACAAAACAAGCAACACATCAATGTCAATGTGTGTGCCGAGTCGAGCCAAATAGGATAAGGCGAATAACGGTAAGACTATGGAGCTAGAGCTAGTCTCCTGGAGAGAGAAAGAGAGAGAGAGAGAGAGAGAGAGACGGAAAGAGAGAGAGACCCCCCCCCCCCCCCCACAAACTTGCGTGCACGTACATACACACACACAGCTCCATCTTACAGTCGGGTCTGTAGCCAGTGCTCAAGGGTGTTCTCTTCACCAACAGGCTGCAGACACAAGCAGACAACAGAAGACATTCCACAAGTAATAGTTAGAACAGGATGTGGTGTAATTCAAAAGCTGTCTGGCTCCCTAGAACTATGTTATGCTATCTCTTCTATAGACACAATCGCAGCATCCAGAATATTTGCTTCACATCTATTTCAAAACTAAAATCGTGTGCGTGTCTGCCTCAGCTTCTGTCATTCTCTGAGACTCTCCCTCACCTTGCAACCTTCACGTTCTTGGGCTTGTAGGGTTCCAAGCATGACAGAAGCTTGCGCATCGTTCTACCAGTGTCGACGATGTCCTGTGGGGAACGAAGAGAACGAAGAATTAGTACTTCGAAGTATGATCCAAACAGACACACTAGACACACTGAGTGCGTTCGATTATGCGTGCGAATCGATTCGCGCTATTCACATCACCCCATGTGAATAGGGTGAATGGATTCCGAATCGATTCCAGGGCTCATGACATGAAAATCGAACGACTTGAATGCATGCGAATGGATTCATAAATCGATTCAACTGCATAATCGAACGCAGTCACTGTATAAGAGAGCACTCTATAATTCCTCAGTGAGCCCACACAGGGAACACGGCACACAGCGTACGCTACCCCAGCATTTTCACACGTATCAAGTCTATTGCAACACCTTTCAGCGCACAGAAAGTAGACCCACACATTTTTTGGGGGGGGGGGGGGGAACTCAAATTTGACTGCATGGTTTTAGTTTATCGGCAAGATGGAAATGGAATGTGAAAATGCTTTTGGTGAATCTACGGGGAAAAGCCATCTCTCACTTTAGTTTACCCAGCTATAAAGTACAGATTTTGCTTATGACCCGTGAGGGTATGTTATAATATTAAAGTTTCACTATAAAAAAGGGATTTTTTCACTGTAGCCGTAGGTACAGAAAGCTATGGAGGCACTCAGCAATGAGCAACACTGTACACGGTGCTTGAAGGGAGCAGCACCCATCCTTACCTCAACAATCAGAACGTTCTACACCATGTAGTAGTCAGGAGAGAATACCGGTTGTCGAACAAGACATGCAAACACAGAACAACGAAGAAGATAAGAGGAATGCATTTTAGAATAGTACACAGAAGAAAGCTGCCCTATGGGAGATGTGGATTAGTGCATAATCACACGCCCTCCCCCCCCCTCCACACACACACAGGCAAGATCAGGGAAGCTGCACAAGAACGAGACGGTGCTAGTACGCTATCCTATAAGATACCTTATGACAAGTTAGAACACACGCATGACTCTGTTGACAGTCCTCACGCTCAAACATGATCATGTGGACGGAGGGCTAACAACTAAAGAAAGCATAGCCTTTTCGCCCGCAGTACAACCATGCTCTGGCTGAACTAGCTCATCACAGAGTAAAAGACAGACACGTGGCAATTGAGGCAAGCAAGTACACACCAAGATCCGAGTCCAGAGCCTCTATAGGTTTCTTCCTCGCCCGTCTGCAAATTGACTCGGTAACTTTACTAAGGCGAACGGGTAAACAAGGGGTTCAATTGATCACACATTCACAGTGGACGATTGAGTACACGGTCATTTCAAGATTCTGCGTGGGTGACGAGTTGAAAGCCGCATTGACATGCACACAATCATACCTTGCCAGCCAGCGATGACAAGTCGTCACTGCCAACGATGCGAACATTGCCAGAGCTCTCGGTATTCTCGTAGCTCTTCAGGCGGATGAAGTCCACCGACATCTGGATGGACGATGCTAGGAGAGTGGGATGTTGAACAAGACAAACAACACGGCAATGTGCATACCGGTGCCGGCATTTGCTCCAACATACACTCAAAACGCAAACTAGTCAGATCCATGATATTTCACACAGTTGGGATACTCGCGGTGCTTGATCGTATAGGCGAATGTGCAGACCACTTGCTTTTCGTGCACAGCGACAAAAGTACAAAACCGGCATGGATTGGTCTGCTTAACTCTTGACTGCAACAATCATGATTAGAAAACAGAACAGCGTTGCTTCGTGGAAACATCTAAAAGAAAAGAATTGAACTTGAGAATGGCCCAGCGGCAAACGTGTTCTTACAGTTATGCACGCGGTTGCACTTGGTGATGAATTCGACCAGGTCAGAGAAGAACTGATATCCGCCCTTCAACACGCACAGGCACACCAATGGAGGAGCGTCTTTGCCGTGTGTGGCCACTAGCTCCAGGAAGATGTTGCGCGCCAAACGTTCCGTCCTACACATGCACACACCCATGCACACACCCATGCACACACCCATGCACATACACATGCAAGCATAAGATGACTGCACCAACAGCAGAGGAACACAAACAGAGAAACATCTCAGGTACCACAGCTCAAAGTGAGAGAGAGAGAGAGTGTGTGTGTGTGTGTACATGTGTGTACATGTGTGCAGAATAGAACTGAAGTGCCAAACGGTGCACACTGCACATACATGCATACACACACACACGCATGCACACGCATGCACAGACACACACACAGACACACACACAGACACACACACAGACACACACACACACACAGACACACACACACACACAGACACACACACACATACACGCACACACACGCGCACGCGCACGCACGCACACACACACACACACACACACACACACACACACACACACACAGAGGAAGCCCACTAGTACCCCCTTACCTGTCCATGATTATTCCCTTGGGGATGAGTACGCTGCTGACCTTGTCCTCATAGTGGAGTGGCAGGCAGAACATTTCCAGTGGATATCCATCAAAGTCATCGGGGATCTAGCACAGAAAAACATGTTAAGGTGTAACAACAACACAATGTCAGAACACCATCGGACACAGAAACTCTACAAGAGTGGGCTCATTCGCTGGTTCATAGTATTTCTGGTCTGGCCGTACGTCGTCGTAAACAGCTTGTATCGACACAGAAAAATTCCGAGACACGCAGGAATACCTCCCACAGTGATACAGCGCCGCCGCTATTGCCGGACTTTTGGATTTGGATTGGTTTATTTAATGTCGAATAACAAACAGGCAGTGTTGCCTTATTACATGAGATTGACTAAAGTTACAGGCACACAAATGTAAGGAAAAGGAAAAGATTAAAAGAAAAAAGAAAAATAGAGTAGGATTTAAGACAGCAGAGGAAAGATTGCATAATTATTTGATCAGTGAGCAACGTTAGTCAGTGAATTTTCAGGTGGGGTAAGAGAGCGGTCCGGAATTGACCTGGTTTCTTCAGTGATCGTATAGATGCAGGCAATTTATTCCAGAGAGCGGGACATTGATATGAAGGGCTGTGTGTGGCGGCTGCAGGTATGATCCTTGGGAAAAGAAGCAGGGGAATATGTGCTCCTCGATCGACTTCTATAGTGAAATACAGGTAGGTTGGCTGACTACCAGAGGCAAACAATTGTTGGAATTTTTCTGCGCTGAATTTCTCCAGGCTGTAGCAGGAGTCTCTTTGGCTGTAGGTATTATAGTACTCCCTACTCAAGAGCATCCTGCCGCAAATCGATCCTCATGCATATGTACTGGCACTGGTAACCACCTTGCCCCATCTCAACTGCCAGGTACTAGGTGAAACCGGTTATGAGGTAAATCGTCAAACCGGTGCTCGTGTCCTATCCCAGTATTTTACTCCTCCTTGGTTGGTACTCGTTCAACCTCCCAATATTCAGACTGACACAATCATAGTCCTTATATGGATAAATATGGAGAACGGAATGCCTAATTTGGAGAGAAATCTCCTGCAATAATAATCCCCACATCCATGTACTTTTGTTCATGAGCCATGTCACAGTTGCCATGTGCTAGTTCATAGAGAGCTCGAGCTAGATGATGCACCATAATGCGTACGTACGCACAAACGTGCTAGAACTTCAACAATTTCGATGAGAAATTCGTTACAGTATTACAAAACAACCCTTGCCTGCGTGCACGCACGCAATGAACACCGAGCTACATGTTACTGTAGTTGAGAACAAGGAGCAAAAAATTCCATTTCCCAAGTGCGAGTAGGAGCAAAGCAAAGTAAGACAAGACTCCTCTACGATGAAACGGTCCCACTGCCACGCGCGAGCTCACTTTTTTCCTGTAGATCCCCTCGATAGGCTCTCGCAGCCTTTGGTCAATCCACAAAAAATCAATCAATCTATCCAAGCACATCATAAGAAAGGAAATAAATTCAAACGATATTTTTAGGATACTCACTGCAATGAAATCATTCTTGATCTCCTTCTTGGTTTCTTGTCCTGTTTCGGCCATCTTCAGACGTGTTTGATGAGAAAACAGATCCAACTAGTTACTTGTCCGGGTTAGGACTTTAGGCTGAACTATATGTGAGGCTGTCTGAATCTGAAGACAACAAAATTATTGAAATTCCTCAAATCACTTTTCAGGACCACGACAACTCCGCCTGCACCACTTCTGATCTTGGATCGATAGATTCGATACCCACACACATCCAGTAGATCTACCATGAAGGCATGATGTGGCCAGGGAGTAGGTATTGTACTACTCCCTGCCCTGGTTGTGGCAGACTGCAGAGCCTGGACCACACACGTACACTACAACAGTCGAGTCGACCGGCGACCGACGCGACCACGGGCCACGTGCACGTGTTGTATTTCGCGGGCAACAAGCGATCGACCGACGAGATCGCGCGCGAGCGTTGCACGGCACGGGTACAGGTCCATGGAGTGGCTACGAGTACGAGTAGATCTACTTATAATGATCATACAGATTATTATAATAATTATGAATATGATCATAGCAATGCTACAATGCAGCTACATGTACATATGTCATGCTACAAACGTCTGTCATCTGACCTCGATAAACAGTTTCCCTTTCGTGATTGATTTTCATTGTTTTTGTTCATAACCAGATCAGATTACCTCTGGGAGTATTCTTGCTCGTACTCATGCCAGTCATGGAATAATGTGTACGAGGAATGATTTACGTACAAGCCTACCCCGGGGCCCCATAGCTGCGGACAGCTGTGATGTTTATCACCAGTAGTTACAACTACTTCAAAGTATACACAGTCATGCATTTATGTCATGACTTGGAAGGGAGATGACTACATGATATGTGCAATCAAAGGAAAAACATCGTCAGATAAAGATATCACCTCGCCTACCAACACAGCTAGGAAAAGTAGATACGGGTACTAGTACATAAGAAAAGATTTACCAAGAATCAGCATGGCAGACTGCAATGGAGCAGAGAAAGAATACACAGCATGGAAGGGGGGGGGGGGATTGTCGATAGAATTAGATTTCGCCATAAACGTAAATTAAATCTCTCCATCTCGCGCTATGCCAGCTAGGATAAAGCAGACGAAAGGGTGCCACGACAAAATGCACCGGAGATCCGCAAAGGCAAAGCAAAGGCGCCAGAACAATTGTGAAAACGCTCCCCGAATCCCCATCACAGGTCACGCAACTGCAATATTTTTGAATGAGTCAGTGTGCTGAGCACCAGCATTACAATGGGAGCAGATTCCAAAGTTGAGGAATCTTCTCTGCTTCCGTAGCATGCAAGTAGCCAGAAGCCATCACTTTGGTTTGCCAAGACGCAGTGTCCTCTCCTTCTCCCATTCACGAAGCTCAGCACGCTTCAGAAAGTCCTGCTTCTCAAGATATCTGGAGGGGGGGGGGGGAAGGAGGAGGAGAGAAGTCAAGAAAACGCAGGAAAGAAAAGCAACAGCATGGCGATGAACATCTAGAACGAATATTTCTACAGCAACTTTGAGAAGAAGCATGCACACACAACGGACAGACACACACAACACCTATGCATGTGTTCCAAAACTAAGGTGAGAGGTTCATTGAGACAGACCACAGTGCTGGTCAATGAAATCAGGGCTCAGGAACAAAGCTATCATCCTGCACCTGTCTGCAGCCCAGTGTTGGCAGGTCTGGGGCTTGCCCAGTGGCTGATACAAGTCAGGCTGGAGCAGCATTGTATTTCAACAACTCACCGCGACGGGAAGACGTGGCACCAGAACCAGGGCACCACAGAAACTGCAGTTTGGGGGAAAAGCCCAATGCTGGTGCAATGCTGGCACTACACTACACTATGTTGGACCACAGTATTCCAATCAAAACAACAAAAACTGATGAACAGGAAAACTGGGAGGTACTGGCACGCACTCAGCTTCAAAGCAGTGGGACCATTGTTATTAGGCAAGGGCCTGTTTAGGACTTCCCACTCTAAATAAAGAATACAAACAAACAAACAAAGCAAAAGGAAGACAACGAGAGTTGTCTGCTTACCCGTCCTTGTTGTGTTTCTTCAGGTCCTCTTCAATACCGGATGCCGATTTGAAGCTCTGCCAGTCGTTGTGGCTTTTGTCCTGCAAGAACAGGGGGCAACAACCGAGGTAACAACAGGGAAAACAATAACAATCAGTCTACTACTACACTGAAACCTGTCCAAGATGACCACTCAAGGGACCTGCAAAAATGTGGTCTCTGTTACCAGGTGGTCTCCTTATCCAGGGTCATTTGACTGGAAATAGCATCCCTTGGGTCCTGGTTTCAGTGGTCTTCTAGGACAGGTGGTCGCCTTATCAGAGTGGTCGCCTTGATAGGTGTTGCTGTACTAAGAACATGTGTTACTGCCAGGAACAAGTGAACACATTCTTTTTCTAGCAGACTTCAACTGTGATAACCGATTGTGCGGTGTTAGAGACCAATGCTACAAATCTTTGCGCACAACAAATTCCAGAAATAGGGCAGATGGACTCTTTACGAAGGTTGACTAATACTCATTGCTGTGAATTTGTAACAGCCCTATTCGCTAGTCTAGACTAATGGCTGACGTACCAGAGTCGATGCCTCCGATTTCTTCCCGCTGGCTTTCGACATCAAGGCCGCCAGTGCTGCAGATCCGCTGGGCTTGGTAGACCCCGGACCGCGGGACCTAGCAACAAGAACAGCGGCATAGACAATGCACACAACAAACACAATAATAATTATCTATTATCTACACCTATGTGGAAGCACACCTGCCTACGTGCGCCGAGCATATACAGTTGCGCTCAGTGAAATCCAACCCAGAGTGCATATTTGGCGCCTTCAAATAGCACACCCTGGATGTCCTGGAAGTGGCACGAATGCGGCTGGACGTACACATGTACAAATACAATGATGTAATCGGAACACTTTAGGTCGGATTTCACCGAGCGCAACTGTAGTACACCCCCCCCCCCCCCCCTTACACACACACGCGCACCAACAACTGTTCACAGACAAGCACGAAAACAGAAACACAGCCAACATCTGATCTGCTCGCACCATTGAATACACCTACACTGCAGGCTTCAGTGAACACAATGACATACATAGCAGTCTTTCAGGGATCAAATCTTACCCAAATCCAGCCGACAGCCGGTTCTGCATTTCAGATGTCCTGTCCGTTGAATCTAACACGGATGAGGCTTTTCCCAGCGTAGGCTTTAGCCGAGACTGTATCGAGTCACTGCTGGTCAGTGAGGAAGATGCGTCTTGGCTACTTGACGATATGCTAGGCTTACTGGCTGTTTGTGAAACACTGCCTAACTCGGCAGCAGTAGATGAAGTAGCACTTGACGTGACTGAATCATCAGACACAGTCGTAGAACTGACGCCTTTCTGTTGTTTAGCTGCTGCTTCCTCTGCTGCTGGTAGCTGTGCAGGCGATGAAGTGGATACAGCACCGATAGCTGCTGCAGCCATTGCCGTCGTTGAAGTGATTGATGTGCTCGTACCAGATAGGTCACCATCTCTTGCAGTTGTCTCCCCACAAGTCTATCACCAGCAGAAGCAGGACAGCAGCAGCAACAGCAACAACAGCAGCAGCCGCAGCAACAGCAGCAGCAACAACAACAGCAGCAGCCACAGCAGCAGCAGCAGCAGCAACAACAGCAGCAGCCACAGCAGCAGCAGCGGAAATAAATAAGTAAAGAACAGACCACTGTTCTTATTGTCCGCAAACTCCAATGCAGCCACCTACACATTGAAAATTTTCATGAAATTCGGCGGAACATAATGGATTCGGTTCGCAGTGAAGAGACTGCTATTGGAGTGTTGGAGTGAGGTTTCATAAACAGACCACTGCAATAAACAATATTAGATAAGTTTCCTATTGAAGGCGACATGCAACGATGTATCTGTCTCAAACCAAGCGTTTGCCATCTCGGATCTAAGAAGAATCTGCAGTTATGTGTACCCTCAAGACCAGGCCGATAGAAACCCACAACTCATATTGCTGAGAACCCACAGTAGCAGTGATGCGAGTGTCGGCAGTGAGCATGACATCAACGTCACCAGCAGAGCAAAAGAGAGCTGGCAGTGAGCTACAGGAATCCGAAAGCAGAGCTCGGGGGTCAGCCAACAGCAGCATGCACTCTCTCCAAAGCAACTCAGTTTGCTATCCACACCTTGGTTTCACTGGAGCTTGTTGCAGCAACGCCAGTAGAAGAAACGGCAACTGTTGATGTTGACGCTGCCGTTACGCCTCGCCTCCGCGATGACAACTTCTCGGTGTCCTGCTGAAATTTCTGCCAGAGGTCATCTGCCCGGGCCTTGGATTCCTCGTCACTCTCGGATTCAGACTCATGGCTCGAGGACTCTTGTCTTCCGGCAGCTAGCCTGCGATACAGAGGTACAGGTGCAAAACATCATTGAAATCACTCAGCAAGCTGCACACAAAGGCAAGTTATAATGCCAGTAAGAAGCCTTGCCACGCACGTATCTCCTAGTTGCTCTTACTTTGTTACTCACCCTTTGTTGTAGGGGTGTGCACGGGTAGTCTGGTACCAGTGCTACCCGTGAGGACCTCGGGTAGTCGCGTACAGAATAGTACCCGAAAACCCGAAGTCGCAGATGACATCATGTACAGTGCCTGTGTACAAATTCATGTAATACTCCACATGTCTACCCAGTGTGCAAGGGAAGGGGTGCATTGTGGTGCTACCATGGAAACATTACCCGATCGGGTACCCGTGCTTCCCGTGGAAACCTACCCGAACCCGATACCCGAAGAAAATACTAGCCGACTCAGCACTACTTTGTTACTATCACCTGCTTGCTATATCACACCACTGTAAACCAATCGGCCGCGAACCGAGAACGTGTATTTCACCGGTATAGTTTAAGGTATCATGGAATGACCACGGCAGACTATGAATGAACACAAGCACATCGACGTTTTAAAGTCAGGAAAGACATCCTCAATGCGGACCCTAGAGATAAGAACAGAGACCTACGCAACCCAGCTAATGAGGCAGTAGACCCCTAGAGATAAGAACAGAGACCTGCGCAACCCAGCTAGGCAGTAGACAAACCTTGCTCGTGTGCTCCGGACGTTCTGCTTCGCTTTCTTTCGCTTTGTCGAGGTCGCTGCGGCCGCTACGACCGTTGCTGTAGCCTCTCCTTCCGATTCACCAGTGGAGTCGCTGACGTCACTCTGCTCGTGTTCTGAAAGCACGCACAAGCCCACACGCAGCAAGTTACCCAGGGCATGAGAGATCAGATCTGCTCTTGACAGAGTGTGCACACTGCAGCAAAGAGTGCACAGCATGAGAGATCAGATCTGCTCTTGCAGCAAAGAGTGCACAGCATGAGAGATCAGCTCTGCTCTTGACAGAGTGTGCACACCGCAGCAAAGAGTGCACAGCATGAGAGATCAGATCTGCTCTTGATGGAGTGTGCTTGCAGCAAAGCGTGCAGAGCGGCTGACACAAGGGCAAAACAGCGAAGCTCGTAAAACGCACTCACAACAAATGCGGCGCGAGACCTGACGATGCTCTCCGGAGTCGAGCACATGCTAGTGAAGACAGCTATCAGGTCTGCAGTTATAATATTACTATCCAGATTGGAGACGTGTAGTAAAACTACATACAGCGTTGCTCCGTGCTACCCTTGTGTAGAAACTACTAGAAACGTAGTACAGAACATACCGGTACTGCACAGCCAAGAACAAGTAGTTCACATGTACCGTGCCATGCACAGGCCCTGGCTCTGGTAGGGGCAAGCACGGTTGGTTTCCGCAACAATGTGCATTGCTTGCCCCACCTTGCATCTGTTCATATGCACATGATGCGCCGGATGCGGACTGTGATTTTCGGGGATGCACACGTTGCAGCCTGTAACCCGTGCCGAAAACGTAGCGCCGTCAATATTCAAACATCAATGTAGCAATCAGTGCTTTTCGCTTGTTCCTTTGGGCAATCGTTAGCAAACCGCACGGTTTCCATCTTTATCGATGTTCTGTGTGCCTGTAAGAGTCACTACACGCAATACAGTAAAACCTGTGTTTGCCGGACACGCATGGTGTAGGGGAATCTATCCTGATGCGACGTATGCCATCGATAGGATTCCTCTTGATACAGGGAGGCATACGCGACCCATAATATGCATGTCAAATTGATCAGCAGGATGTCATCTTTGGTTCTATGCCTCAGCCAAGTCAATACATGTAATAGAGAGGTTCCGCATAACGTAATTACGTTAGTAAAAAACGTAGTCGATCTACGGAAAGTCTTACGTAAACTGCATGCACATCTGGGTTCCGCCAAACGGAGTTTTCAAATCACGTAGCTGCTCTTGGCAACTCCGAACGCGGCAGTGTACGACCAGATCGACCTGGGGAGAGAGTCATAAATCTGTACCCCAATCCACTTACAGGCCAGCTACGTTATCAGAGCCTTAACTACGTACTCTCCGTAGACAACTTTCCGTAAGTGGAGTGCAAACTCGCGAATTCACGGGTTTTTCCCCGCCCACTAACGTAAAGTTGCTCGACTTTACGTTAGTGCGGAACCTCTCTAGCACCATTACATGTATGTTTCTTTATGTACGTGAACAAGGTGTACACACACATACACACACACACACACACACACACATACACACACACACACACACACACACACACACACGCACGCACTTCTATCTATACAACCGTGTACATGCATGCAGTCCATGCTGCGAACAAGGGAGTAGTAAAATACCGGTATTTTACTACTCTCTGCTGCGAACTAGGGTTGTAATGCGACCTGCAAAAAAAGCCTCTGCGGATGTGAAAGTTCATACGGTGCGCGTATATGGTACGGACTTCGTTTGTGACAGGCACAACCGGACTTGGTGGACGAAGTCCGTTCCGCGTTCCACAGTATTCTGCTTGTTGAAGTGAGTTTTCTATTGCAGGCCGTCTGTGCATGAAAAATTTGTCCGGTCTGGACAGGATCTTCGCTTGATGCAGGGCCCGATAAACCCAAGTTTTACTGTAAACTGAGACAACTGAGAGCCAATTGCTGTGTGTAGCTCATAGCTCAGCTCTCAATAATAACATAATATTAATAACCAGGGGCGTCAGAAGGTATTTTAGTGTGGTACGGTCAGCGATCTGAAGTACAATTTACTCGTGAGGGAGAGTTGCTGAGCCGAAAATTTGGAAATTTAGAGCCCTAACGAACGTGGAACATCTACCACTCATACTTAGTCTGATGATCATGCATCTGATTATGATGTCATTGCTATACATGCGCATGCGCAGCGTGCGCGCCACTCTCCCACGCGTGCTTTCCAAATCTTGCTTTGCAGAAAACTCCTTAGTCACTTCTGTTTTCCGACGACTTGACTGTTCACTGGTTTGTCCGTCAGTTGTCAATTCTCTACAGGGGCAAAAAGTGGTACGGTCAATACCGTAGTGACCATACCGTGTCCGACGCTGAGAAAGTACCGTACTGGCAATATATGTTGCCACGTAACGCGTAACGCAGGGGGGTGCGGCGTAACGCGCGACCAGGCTAGTGCGACAAATTTTCGTTGCGTTCGTAACGCGCATCCGGCGGGGTGCGGCGATCTTTTCATTGCAGTTTGCACTGCAAAGGCTGAAAACTGTGAAAGCACGTGTACCGCGTGGCAAAAAAAAGGACTGCGGCAATATAGAAACCTGTGTAACGGCTCCTGTGCGACTTTGCATGTAACGCCCTGCGTGCGGTAAACATGTGCCAATGTAACGCTTCATGGCCTCACTGCGACCATATATATTGCCAGTACGGTAGACAAAATCACTTTTTGTTGAATTCTACTGGCTAGCACTATACTAGTGCCACGAGGAAGACATTTTCATTTTAGTACATCCACATGTCATACCGTAGTACACCAATGTGACAATGACTGTGGCTGCTACGAGAACGAGCCAGCGAAACGAGCCACTTGAACGGTGTCACTGAACGCATTCTCACCAAATTCCCCATATTGCACCTACTTCGCTTGTTGCCTTTTACCCAGGCTAATATTTTTCTCCCAGAACATGCACGTGGAGGCCCAACAGGATGAAAACGAAACTACTAGTAATTTGAGGATTCAAATTGAATGACTAAATTTATTTTCATATCAACTTTGAATCATTGCGTCGAACGGCCAGCATGTCCCATACCTTCCGGGTTGAAATCCTCGTCAGCAGAGTCATCCGAAGAAGAAGACATGTTTACAGAAGTAGAAGCCTGCCGTGGCCTGAAAGATGACAGATAGAGTGCGTCTACTGCATTACTTCAAGTAGTTGAACTACTTCGTCTTCGCAGTACTACAATCAGCAGATTGTATACATGCACAAGTTGTACAGTCAAATCTGCCGTTAACGACCTCTGCTGTAGGCGACCATCTACCGTTAGCGACCGATTTTCCGTGCACCAACGGTTTCACGTACAAATTGATCTGTCCAGAGCGACCATCTGCTGTGCGCGACCAGCGACCGCGATTTCATGCACGGTGGCTGCATTCAAATCTGCTGTAAGTGACCGCGACCCACGTTCAGTCAGGTGCGAAACTGTACTTGCCAGTGTGCTGTCAACTTCAAGGTGTGAAATGCGCTGTCTTGCAAGTGCGCCCCTATATTCTATTGAATATCCAATAATATGATACCAAAAATCACATTATTCTCGTCGATTTGAGTACATGGAAGCATAATTATATGCATGCCCGGTATGCCGGATTTACCATACATCTGCCGTAAGAGACCATCTACCGTAAGAGACCGCTTTTTCTTGCACCAAGGGGCGGTCGCTTACGACAGATTTGACTGTAGTACTCGTTCTCTCTTTTTTTTAAATTTCGAGAATGCAAAAAATTTAATGATACAATGTAAAATCATGTAATTTTGCACACAAAAATTAATGATGGTCATTTAATTTTTAAGACTGTACATATGAAGGATTACCATCAAGAGTACATAAACCTGGGTTTATGTACTCTTGGATACCATGTACCAGTGCAGTACGAGCATAATCAATCATTGTATAAAAACCAGGTTTATAATACGACTCCCTGATAAAAACCGAGGTCCCCGGAGCTAGCCCGGAGGTAACTGACATGTAATTGCAATAAATCCTGAGGCTACCACATTTATTATACATAATAATTATGTTGACCAGCATGCACTTTCCCTAAAATGGAGTATGCATATAAAAAGTATTTATTGGCCTTTTGGTATTTTATAAACAGTACCTGTCATTGGCTTTTGATTTTAGGGAAAAGTGCAGTGGAATTTATAGAGTCAAAGCAAATATATTTGAATTTGATACTGTTCAGGATGGTGTACTGTGGTCACTAATCGGAGTGTGGGTATTTATCAAAGGTCATGACGTCAATAACAATAATGAACAATTACAAGGCCAGCACGTGCGCACTGGCAGGAGGACCTCCTGACTACAAAATAATTACAATCAGGGAGTCGTTTATACGACTGCCTGATTCAATACAATGATCAATCACACTATGTATGAACCTAAAGTCTGTGATGGTGCGGGTTACACGACTCCCTGTACCACTAGGCACTAGGCACTCGCAGTCTCTGCGAGTCTGCGTGGATCGTGGTCATGAGACCTGCCTGATTATGACCCCCTGACTCTGAGTCATGGGGTGAGTCTCCTAAAAATTAAATATACCCAGACATCCACAAAATCAAGAGTCCAACACTGCTGTGTTGATAGACTGTTGAATTGATACAAGGTTGGAGAATCTCAACAACGTCAGCCATGCGTGTGGTTATAACTCTCGGTGTTGCAGGCAACCATATCAGAGAAACCTTAGCAGCCATGTTCCTGGAATCAGGCGGGCACGCAAGTCGAAACACTGGCACATACTTTGCACATGCAAGCAGGAAGTCTTGCCCCGAAATTACTTGGCCCTGCATACAAGCACAATCATGTAAGGTACTGGTAGTTGATCTTGTTCTCTTCCACTCCGAAGTTGGACTTCACACAAGTGAACACAATATGATATGAAGGTGTTGCACTATCCTTCGCCATAAAATATGATTGACATGTTGAAAAGAGAAACAGGAACATGCAGCTACAAGACCACAGAGAGCAATATACAGTACTGTACCAGTATTCTTCGTGCCACCTAAACACTGAGTCAGAAGACTCGGACACAAGGTAAAAAAAATATAAAAACGGACGGGTGCATGGAACAGGTCACTGAGCGGGGCGACCCGACGCAAACAGTGTGCTTACTGTTGGTGAAAACAAGTTACAACACTGAAATGATGAGAAGCATGATACAGGCGGATGCGGTGAAAAAGGACGTCGTTGATAAAAAGTAGAATAGATCGTTGCAAAAAGAGCATAAAGCCAATATCATGTTAGCCATCACTATAGCTGTACAGTAGTAGCAGCAGAGTTAAAATTCTTCTTGACCAAGCGCTAGGTGGTATTTAGATACAATGTATGTGTTTGATGATTTACACGGTTACAACGGCGTGTGCTGCTGAATTACACAAAAAGTATGTTTAGGAAATATGTACAAGTCCACTGACAACTTTTGATTTCAATATGATACACAGACACCCCACAGTAGGAACGTAAATGAGAGAGAGAGAGAGAGAGAGAGAGAGAGAGAGAGAGAGAGTGTGTGTGTGTGTGTGTGTGTGTGTGTGTGTGTGTGTGTGTGTGTGTGTGTGTGTGTGTGTGTGTGTGTGTGTGTGTGTGTGTGTGTGTGTGTGTGTGTGTGTGTGTGTGTGTGTGTGTGTGTGTGTGTGTGTGTGTGTGTGGTTAGCGATGTACTGTTGATGTGACTATTTTTCAGCATGGAGTAAGTTGGGGGGAGGGGACTGGCAATGTCCTAGGGATGTTCCAAATTCACATTATTTTGACAGTGGGTTTACATCTGTAGTTGAGGTTCTTCGGCCCTCCGCTCGCAGTGGACAGGGTTTTCTATAGCTTGCTGAAACAAAAAGCCACTGGGTTGAGGTAGGAAAAGCAGAAGTGACGAGCGGACAGAAACGCAAAGAGGGTTGTAGACTACTGGTGGGTCTAAAATCTAACTCAGCTGCTGCCGCCGCTCCCACCTATTCAACCGAGGAGAAAGAGATTACTGAGGAGGAAGCTGCAGAGAGGAATAGAGGGTGGAGGAAGGAGCAAAGTCCGGCACATTCATACCTGTGTTTGTTTCTACAGGCTGCCGTGTGGTGGAAATGGCGGAGGTTGCAGGCTGCTGGACCGACGTCTGCATGGGCTGCTGCGTGCCAGAGGTGGCATAGGCTACCGGCTGACGTGTGCTAGAAACGACGGAGGCTACAGGCTGGCGCATTCCTGTCTGTACTGGCTGCAGCGAGACGGAGGTGCTGGACGCAACAGCGGGCTGTCCTTGTCGCTTTGGTAATTCCATGAGCGGCAGAGCAGCCTGGCGGAACTGTTGCTTTTGACCGTCAGCGGTCGGCTTCTCATTTCCGTGTCCCGGTTCCTGAGATGCAGCTAAGGCTAAGCTAGCCTTCTGAACAAGCCACTGCTGTTCAAAAAGCTCCAGCGCCCTGACAAACTGTCCATAGCCAGCGTTGATATCACCATTCTGCAAGCACAGAGGCAGGACCTCGGCCAGCTTAGCCTGGTACATAGCGGGCAGTACTTTGATACGGAAGTCGAGTAGAGTTCTGAGAGCAGTGAAGCAGTGCACAAGAAGACGGACACACATGAACACTTTGCAACCTCACAAATAACACACATACACATATTTTCCGGAGTATAAGCCACACTTTGAAGTTTGAACACTCAAAATCACCCAAAAAAGGGGTGCGGCTCATACTCCGATGATCAAAACAGTTATAAACTGGGGTAGAGGTCTATATTTCGTGACAGAAATATGGGTTTGAAGAAGGGCTGAGGCTTCCTGCAGCTTCATCTGTGAAAAGAATTCGGGTGGACACACCCATTCCCATAGCGCTGCACATCACATCCGAACCAGTTCCGTTATTTTTAGCTAGTTGCGCCTTTTCTCTCTCTCTGACCCCCCCCCCCCCCCTCTGCATACTAGGTGACATAATTCGCATCTTTTTTGGCGCTACACTCTGCGTATATACTACTCTTGTGTGGCTTCCACAGTATTCATTGTTATTACCTGACGATGGCCAAGTGCCGAAACGTAAAAATAACGGAACTGGTTCGGATGTGATGTGCAGCGCTATGGGAATGGGTGTGTCCACCCGAATTCTTTTCACAGAAATATGGGTGCGGCTTATACTCCGGAAAGCACAGTAAATATTTCTGTATAGACTGGCGTGTGGCTGGTAACATTGTACTAGGGCAACATTTATGATGCTCACTGTCCACATTAACTTGAAGTAGGGCTAACTGCGCAGTGTGTGGGCTGTTTGTGTATTGTCAGACAAGCGGCAAGCCGGATGACTGAACGCCGGACAAGCGGCATGCAACTGCACGTTGTCCCACATCACTAGTAGTAAGCTGATGCTACTTGGTGTGTATGGTGCAGGAAACAACACGGGACAACTGACCCATGCTGATTGTAGAGCTGGCTGGGGGCACTAACAGGAAGCCAAAAGGCAATGTCACACGGTAAATTTTCATCAACGTTGCTACAGATTTCCAGAGCAAAATCTAATTCATAGGAAAAGGCCAAACGCCTGGCCGAGCCGTACCGTATTCGAGTTTCCAGCAGCTTGAGTCGGCGATCCCTTTCCTCGGCTTCCTGTTGAGCGCTGAACGCAGGCCGCATAACCTGCTGGGCCATGTGAGGGAGGACAGCGCGTGGATCGGCTACGTGCGGGTTCATCCAGCGTGGTACGCCTGGCCGCGGATTGGCTTGCAGTAGCCCATGCTGTTGCATGAGCTGGTGCATGCGCTGCTGCTGCTGCGGCTCCAGCTTGCTCGCACCCAGATCAGGATTCATCTGGGAAGATAAAGAGCGCAATGCCTGCAAGCAAACAAAACACACAGAGAAAACCCATTGGTCACTACACTACACTTGTAGTCGAGGGAAAGGAAAAGGGAAAAGTCTGAAGAAAAATTGACTGTCATCACCAGGATTCGAACCAGGGCCTTCGCTTGAGACCAGCGATGCTCTAACCACCGAGCTGTCATGGAAAATATTTAGCTCGCTCTTGAATATTGCTCCGGGCTCGTACAAGTTTGGTGTTGGTGTGCTCATGTTCCTGTCATGTCCTTGCGCTGGCGGTGGCTTCATGATCAACGCCGCAGTTCTCTACGATTGCAGTTTCAGGGTGGTCATTGTAGACAGACTAATACTTATTATTCAGACTTAACTTAGTCCACAAGCTGATCAGTCACAGGATACGCATGTAGGCAGTCTCCGAAAACAGTGCTTGTTCATCACACATCCAACCACGGACACGCAAAGCAGAGATGCATCTACTAACGTTATAATATGGTGCTGGTAATATGTCAGTGAACACACACACACACACACATGCACATATACACACACACACGTACGTACGCACACACACACACACACACACACACACACACACACACACACACACACACACACACACACACACACACACACAAATGCCCACACACCACCCACCCATCCCCCCAACACACATACACTTTCTCACACAGGAACTACTCTCGGCAGGAGGAGCAGCAGCAGAAGCAGCAACACTAGCAGTAGCACAAGCTGGAGTAACATACCCTAAGCTGCTCCTCTCCGGTCTCCTTTTCTTTCTGGTACCACTCCCAGGCCTCCTGCTTCTCAGCTTCAGTTAGATGATCATCAGGCTACGGAAAGAACACAAACAACAACAGCAACATGAACAGTAATCATCAAAAACACCATCACCACCATTACTGAAACTAACAATGACAGCAAAAAAACACCCAACATCAACACCAACATCAATCCCAACACGATGATGAGAGGAAACAGACAGCTAGGACTCAACCAATTCCATGCCAGTGGTGCAAAAGCACGGCACTCTCAAGATACACCGAACGGCCAACGTCGCGTATACGCGGAACACAAGTACACAATATCAGCCAGCGTGGGTTGGACCGTACGGAGCCTCCTGGGTCAGCCAGGCTGCCCATATCGGCAGGGGCATGTTCAGGTATCCATGAAGACGGGGGGGGGGGGGGGGGGGGAACAGCATGTGGCATACACTGGGAGGCAGCAAACGCGGCGCTGACTATGTTCTATTTTTAGTTGCGCCCGTTGACCGTTATGCTCGGCCTGCAAGCCAGGCAGGAGTCCATTGCGGGACGAGACAAGGACTGACTTTATTTACGACGAGCATGCGCATAAAATACAGATGAGAGAGACAGTACGGAGAGAGACAATACGGCGACAAACATTATACACCAGAGTGACAATTGGGCCAGGACTGGTACTGCAGATATGGCATGGAAAGAGTTAGAGACATTGCCTACAGCTATGGCATGGAAAGAGTTAGAGACATTGCCTACAGATATGGCATGGAAAGAGTTAGAGACATTGCAGGCCGAAGCCGCAAATAGCCTAGCCTGGAATCAGCCAAAGTGGGAGCGTGCATGCTCCACCATCCTCCAGTACATATTGAAATCAAAGCTGTTACAACTAGATGTAGCAATGGGGTGCTGATTACAGCAGTGTTCCTACAAGTCTAAGCGTATCAGTGTGTGTGCACGCGCGTGCGCGTATGTGTGTGCGGGCGTGCATGTGCGTGACCAAAAGCACTACGCACCTGATCTTCAAGCAAAGAGTTGTGATTGTGTACGCGCACGAGCCATGATGGCTTCATCTCCTCCAACAGAATAGTCAAGATGGGATCCTAGCAGGAAAAGGGCCAGCACAGAACAGGAACACCATCATAACAGATATACAACAAACATAGAACACCACTAAAACCATATCATTACAGCTAGGTTTGAAGCATATCACATGCCACTGACAGAGAGAGAGAGAGAGAGAGAGAGAGAGAGAGAGAGAGAGAGAGAGAGAGAGAGAGAGAGAGAGAGAGAGAGAGAGAGAGAGAGAGAGAGAGAGAGAAAGAGAGAGAAACACATAGTGTGTGTGTGTGTGTGTGTGTGTGTGTGTGTGTGTGTGTGTGTGTGTGTGTGTGTGTGTGTGTGTGTGTGTGTGTGTGTGTGTGTGTGTGTGTGTGTGTGTGTGTGTGTGTGTGGGAGAGTGAGAGACCAAGAGTTTACCTTGACATCTTTCTCCTCCACTTCGGGAAGCTCAGCCAGAGTCTTCTCGTTCCCGCCATCTGTGCGGTCGACATGGGAGCTTGCTGTCATGGCCGATGCCGTCGACTTGTCGCTTAGAGCACAACACACGTGACACAGACACACATACATACACACACAGATACACATACACCCACGTACACACACACGTACACAACGCACGAGTACGGATTGCACACCAATGTTTACAACATGCTTTAAAACGTCGGCAGAGCTTGTCCAGGATTATGACAGTAGTAGAAAGCTTTTGCATGAGTTTAACGGAGTACATAGAAGTCCTGAGTGAGTTGCTGCTGAATAAGAGCTAGGCAGACATTTTCTGCTGTGACAAGTTCTTACGTCCAGCAAGACAGTAAGCATGAACGACCCGCTACGAAAAACATCTTCCACGCTTATTTCATCCCGGCAGTGAAATCCACCACGCAGTATCCAACCGTGGCAAGGATGTCTTACAAAGAAATCCATAGAGACCACTCAGTTTTATTTATACAGAGTTGACCAGTGACCTTCTGGTAAGGCATCAAAAGCAGCAGCAGCAACAACACAAATTTACAAAATGTAATACTCACTCCTCAGAATCACCTAGGGCCTCTCGATCTTCTGGAAGTAGGTCTGGGTCAAAGTCGAAGAGGCGTTGAATCTGGTCAAAGGTAAAATGACGCTGGATCTGCTGCTCGTCAACGACACGTAACGAGAGGGACTGCTTGGTGACCTGCACACACACACACGCATACACAGTCTGTCTGTCTGTCTGTCTCTTCCCTTCCCTGTTGCTGTGTTTGTATAATTTCTTTTTTCACTTACAGTAAGATTCTATTCTTTTCCCTGCTGCCGTTCTCGTATCATTTTCTTCCTCTTTTCGTTTTGTTTTCCTTGTCTATTTCCCAATTTCCAGTCGTTCTTCCTTTTTCTTCTTTTCTCTTTTTACCAGGGAGACCATTGTGTTACTTATTAGGCTAACTCCACTTTAAATAAAGTCAACACCAACGACAACGACAACGACAACGACAACAACAACAACAACAACAACAACAACAACAACAACAACAACAACAACATTGGCAGCAGGTCCAATAGAACTGAGTAAAATTAACACGACATGTTGTGTACAAACTCAGAAGTTGATTGTTCCAACTAGGAACACACACTTCTTGCCAAACTTGACACTTGACTGACGCCAGAGTGGTGCTTTCTTGCAGGTTTGCCGAGTGGAAGGTGCGACGTGCTCCTCATGTGCTCCGGATGGCAGTCATGAGTCAGTCAAGTGTCAAGTTCGGCAAGAAGCGTGTGTTCCTAGTTGGAACAATCAACTTCATGTTGTGTACAGTAGGAAACAACTAGAAAAAGTGCATTAGCTGATGAGAAAGGTAAGTGCAATGCTACTAAAGCAAATGCTACAAACCTGGCGATCATAGATCTTCTCTTCCATCGTGCCCTGGACAGTGGATCAGAGTGGAAGGGAGAGAAAATGACAAAAGACCTCGTCAGTATGTTCCTTGTTCCTCAAAAACAACCTAGACTACAAGCAGTATGAGCAGCAACTAATGCAGCACACATAGATATACTACATTAGAGGTACGCGTGCAGTAGTAGAGTTTCAGGCTAACAACATACTACACTATCTCTTAATTTGCTAAATCCTATATATAGGATTTTGGTCATATTTTTCAACTCAAAATGGGTGTGGCATGAGAATAGCAAAAAGTATGTGACCAATTCTTCTTTGCTAGGTCTTATTAGATATCGAGAGTTGAATAAGATAATTTTTTCAAACACTAACATCTCAGGCGCATCTCCTTGCCCAGTATTACTAAGGCCTGTGCCCAATTTTTCGAATCCTATATATAGGATTTGAGATTTTTATTGGACCTTGTTTTATCCTTAAAACTGGTAGTTTCATGACGGCATGTGCGATATGTCGTCATGAAGCCACCCCGTGCCACACCTGCAATGTTCTTCTGCACATTCACTGCTTCAGTCCTTTCCATGACAGCAGCTGAACAATTATGCTCAAATTTCCAATTATTGCGGAAAATAGGTATTCATCAGAATTATTATTGCCCTATGAATCTAAAATGTAAACATTCATGCCTCAAACATATTTACAACTTCAATGAAAACCATTATGCCGTTATTATTGGTCGTGATGACCAATAACAACGGCATAAAAGGCACACATTTTCAAATCCTATAATTATATAGGATTTTCGGCTAGCAAATTAAGAGATACACACGATACAGCGCAGTCCGACAAGAGTGTAACGCGAGACACCGGCGAGAGAGAGAGAGAGAGAGAGAGAGAGAGAGAGAGAGAGAGAGAGAGAGAGAGAGAGAGAGAGAGAGAGAGAGAGAGAGAGACTCGAAACATCCAACCAAGCCCATCAAGACTCACCTGAGCAACTAACCGGTAGACAAACACGGATTTAGTCTGGCCAAAGCGCAACACACGGAACAGCGATTGGGTGTCGTTACTCGGGTTCCAGGAGACGTCAAACACAATGACACGGTTGGCCGCTTGGAGGTTTATTCCCAAGCCACCAGCGCGAGTCGAAATCAACATAAGTCTCAGTCTAGAAAAGAAAACACAGCACAGCACAGATGCTGACACATGCCTATACAGGCAAATCGCCCACTTCCGTATATCATGTCTGAGCATGGCTACCTATACTAGACAACAGACACTGTCCGCTTGTTTCAGCTTGTGTGAGTGTGGTCTGAAGCCTGAGTCATAAGTCACATCGTGTACGAAGAACGAGTCGCATTGCGAAAAAGTGGACCTGAGCTCAACTTGTTTGGCCCGTCGTGGGATGTGTTCTCCGTACGCGGAACGAAGTATTAATCAGGCGTTTTAAAAGGTACACACTGTTGTGCTCTCACCTCTTGTTGCTCGGCTTGTTGAACCTGGTGGCGTAGTTCTCACGGTCAGCCAGCTTCACACTGCCGTCCAGACGGAAGTAGTCCAGGCAGCGAACCCAATCGCCGTACTCTGGCTGCCCCAGGAAGTGCTCGATGAGATCGAGCGAGAACAGGCTCTGCGAGAAGACCAGAACCTGAGTGGGAATACACGAGTGAACGAATCCATCATTTCGGGCCAAGCATGCACTAGGATTAGGAGCCGCGTTTCCGAAGAATTTTCAGACTATGGCTCCGGGTAACAGCAGCTCTGCTTCCAACTACAATCATGTGTACATGGCACTACATGCATGTTGAAATCCGTGATTTCACTGGCAGCAGCAGCAGGAGTAGCAGCAGCAGCAGCAGCAGGACTTGAACTTCATTTGGCCTACTACTGCACATCGTGTCAGTGCATACATACCTTGTCGCCGACTTTCTCTGCGAGTTGCAAAACGCGGAAGAGGATAGCCAACTTGCCGCTGAGTTCCAGTATTCCGCATTCATCCTCCAGCACAGTGCCCTTGAACCAATCAGCTACACCAACCATACCAGCAGAGGCGGCGGAGGCAGCAGCAGCAGCAGCAGGAGTAGCAGCAAAGACCAATTAGACGATGAGAAGGATATACATGTACAAGAAGCCCAAACAACCCACTACTCATAATCACCACCACCAACTGCACCACAACCACACCACCACTCTTACGTTTAATCCAGTGACTCACTCAGTCATTGGCCTTCTAACCTAAGATTGAAGGAAGGCACGGAACAGTTAAACTAGTCTGCTGTTCTATCTGTTTCATAGCTACTACAGAAAACCTTATATCACCACCAAATGCAAGCGGTCTCTTTGCTGCAAATTCTAGAATCTCAACCAAATATTCGGCCAGGAGCCACCATCAGGTGTTTCACAGCTAACACAAAAGAAGACAACCTTTCTCTGTTCCTTCTCCTTCTAGCGCACCCGCACAGGGATCAGCATTAGCAGTGCTCCCAAACAGGTGAACCATGCAGACACTACTGGGGCGGTCAAGCAACATGATAGCAAAGAAATCATGACAGCAAACATGCTGCTTGTATGGCCACCGGCACCCACACACACACGCACACTCACACACTCTGCCCTCAACGGGGCGCTTGCAAATTGGAGTGTAATACGGCGGCATGGTGCAGTTTCTCTTTCTTTCAGAATTCATTGGGTACACCAGGAAATACTAGTACATTCAAAATCCCTAAGCAGTACATACATTTAATAGTGGAGGTCGCAGTACTGGGTGAAGGTGCTGATACTGCAATTGCGGCTGCCGATCTTGCTGCTTCAGCAACGGCTGCTTTCTTGGCATTCTCCCGAAGCAGAGTATCGATTTCCTGTCCACTAGCATCCTATCATTCACACACACACACACACACACACAAACACACACACACACACACACACACACACACACACATACACACACACATACACACACACACACACACACACACACACACACACATACACACACACACACACACACACAACACAGCAAGGAAGCACAGCAGGGAAGCACGAGATGACAAGCAGTTACATTAGCACATTACTGGTGTATCTAGATGGGGGTGCACACCAGGGCCTCGCTCCTAAACCCGACTCTCTGAGACAGAGTAAAGGACTTGGTCAGTGAGCTTCAGGCAGACATATGGACCAGCGAATTATACGCTATAGCCCTGATCACAGACACCTCAGACCTGCCCATCGCAGACGCGATGATAGCGAACAGCTATGTGAGACACAGCAACTTGTGATGGGATTACACCATTCAACAGCTTGCAAGGCTGATGAATTGACCGCCACTAATTTTAGCCTGGTCTACACCACACGGCTGATTGAAGTGGCTTTTTTCCGGCCAGTGAATCCCTTTTTCATTTTTTTACATTCTTTCTTTTAATTTTTTTGACGCAAGCACAGACACACACACATTCCTCTACATGCCATGCTACAACAGATAGCAGCACATTACACGTGCCAGCAGACCACCACCAGCAGACTCTGAACAGCAAGCAGTGCACACCTATTGCCATGCATCGCTATCCGACCAACCCACCTCGGAAACACTGCCTTCCTCCTCGTCAGTGTCGGCAACGAAATTTTTCATTTGCTCTGCCTCCTCCCTGGCCTCGCGCTTAGCCCTGCGCTTCTCACTGCGTTCAAACAGGACTTTCGGATGGGTTACAATACTCATCAAGTCGTGGAACGCTTCCAGCACAGCACGTGCAATCTAATAACAGGACATGACAATGGAGACAACACGTATGGGACGGTCACAGAGAGATAGTTAGATGGATAGATGGATATAAACATACTATCATAGATAGAGAGACAAACAACAGTCAAGCATCATTGGTAATAAATGCCGGACTATTGTAGCTCCGCCTCTCGGTATTGAGCACTCTCTTGGACAGCCTGGAATCTCTCTGTTTCATAGATAGAGAGAGACAGTTAGATGGATATAAATATAGATAGAGAGAGACAGTTAGATGGATATGAATATAGATAGAGAGAGAGAGACAGTTAGATGGATATAAATATAGATAGAGAGAGAGAGACAGTTAGATGGATATAAATATAGATAGAGAGAGAGACAGTTAGATGGATATAAATAAAGATAGAGAGAGACAGTTAGATGGATATAAATATAGATAAAGAGAGATACAATCTGACGAAAAACACAAGCAGCTACAACTACAACCATACATGCACGCACACATGTGCACACACGCGCATGCACGCACACACACACGCACATACACACACACACAATGCCTGAAGATGGGCACTAGAAAGTTGAGACTGAACTTTGGAGCATTGTAACTCACCGTCGCTGTCGTGTTCTTGCCCTCCACAAACACGCTCAGGTACTTGCGATAGAGCTTCACCTGGACGGCGGAGAGACGCACAGAGAAGATGAACTCGTGCTTGGGCGGCAGGTACGGCAGCAGCGCGCTGAAGTCGCGCCGATGCACGGTGGCTTCCAGCAGGCGATTGAGGACGTGAGACTGGCGCTTCATGCGATTCACGTCGGTCTGGGTGCTGTCAGCACACTGGCCGTTGGCAATTGGGTTGACGAAGCGGTTCGTGAACTCGCGCATCGTGCCCAGCAGATTCGGCTTGACAAAGTCCATCATGGCAAAGTCTGCTCGCAGCAGCAGACATAAGTTACATGCATGCACCGTTTGCAAACAACCACGCACAGCAGAGGACAAAAGTCACACAACAGTAGAATGTGTGTAACGTTATTTAATAGTGAGCCACGGAGCCTGTTTATCTCGGTGATGTGACCGGTGATGTGACTGGTGATGCGACTGGTGTTGTGTCTGTACTGGTGACGTGGCAGTACTGATGATGTCGCCGTGGATGTCACTGGTGATTTACTCCTTTTTTAAGTTGAAGATCAATTCGTTTTGTTTGTTTTTGTAATGTGCACATGTTCATTGTTCATACGTAGACAGAGAACAGAGAACAGAGAACAGAGAACAGAGAGAGAGAGAGAGAGAGAGAGAGAGAGAGAGAGAGAGAGAGAGAGAGAGAGAGAGAGAGAGAGAGAGAGAGGCAGAGGGGACAGCCAGTGAACTCACACTCCTTCAAGTTGTTCTGCAGCGGAGTGCCTGTCAGAACAACGCGGCAGTGGCACTTCATCAACGCCATGGTTTTCGATATCTGCGATGAAACGTTCCTCAGCAGGTGACCTTCGTCACAGATGATCACATCCGGTCCTAGGCAATGACAGAAAGGACACCACAGGAAATCCACATGTGGACATTCCACGTACTATTGGGAGCGAACACACTCACACACACTCACACACACACACACATGAGTGGAAATTTGTATGTGAAATCCAGACTGGAGTGAACAGTACATGACCGTGTCCAAGAACAACTTAAACTGTACGGAACCTGTGTGTCTGGGGTCGTTCAGAGGGATGATTCCAGGTCTTTCAGAAGGAAGGCTCCAGGGCCAAGATTACTTAATACTAGTTACTACTACTACAGTAAAACCTGTCAAGGCGACCAATCGGATAAGGTGACCACTCGGATAAGGTGACCACTCGGATAAGGCGACCACCTGTCCTAGAAGACCACTGTAACCAGGACCAAGGGATGCTATTTCCACTCAAATGACCCTGGATAAGGAGACCACCTGGTAACAGAGACCACGTTTTAAAGGTCCCTTGAGCGGTCGTCTTAGACAGGTTTCACTGTACTACTACTACTACAACCAAGAGTACATAACCCCCCAGAGTATGGTGCCATCAAGAGTACATAACCCCCCAGAGTATGGTGCCATCAAGAGTACATAACCCCCCAGACCAGAGTGTGCAACACCGATCCAGCTCTGTGTAGGGTCTTGGTCGAGCGGAATCGGATCTTCTGATGTCATGCGTACACTTCACACCAGCGCAAGGCCGGTCTCGAGGCAGGGTACCATTGTTTTTGATCCAAGAGTACCCGCGACTCCCCGGGTTCCCCTCATATGTGTACGGTATTATGACGCAAAGATCCGATTCCGCTCGACCAAGACCCTATGCAGAGCTGGATCAGGCGTTGCACACTCTGGGGGGTTATGTACTCTTGCTACAACTACTACTACTACTACTACTACTACTACTACTACTACTACTACTACTACTACTACTACTACTACTACTACTACTACTACTACTACTACTACTACTACTACTACAACTACTACTACTACTACTACTACAGTACTGCTGGGTGCCGAAGAACGAACAGGCTGGTATTTCACCAAACACAGCATACACATGAAGAACGAACAGGCTGGTATTTCACCAAACACAGCATACACATGAAGAACGAACAGGCTAGAATTTCACCAAACACAGCATACACATGAAGAACGAACAGGCTGGTATTTCACCAAACACAGCATACACATGAAGAACGAACAGGCTGGTATTTCACCAAACACAGCATACACATGAAGAACGAACAGGCTGGTATTTCACCAAACACAGCATACACATGAAGAACGAACAGGCTGGTATTTCACCAAACACAGCATACACATGAAGAACGAACAGGCTGGTATTTCACCAAACACAGCATACACATGAAGAACGAAGAGGCTAGAATTTCACCAAACACAGCATACACATGAAGAACGAAAAGGCTAGAATTTCACCAAACACAGCATACACCTGCAATTATTGCATGGCGACTCGACTGTGCATACACCATAGCACATGACAATACGAATGGACTAGGCTACGAGTCTGTATTGTAGGTGCTCGTGCAGTACTGTACCTGGGTCTGTCAAGAACATCTCCAGTCTCTTCTTGTACTTCTTGCTCTGCTTGTTCTGCAGCAGAACTCGCATCGCCTCGTAGTTGATGATGAGAATACCGCCACCGTTGTGCCACTCATCAAGCCACTCCACTCGACTTCCCAACTGCCTCTTGCCGAATTCTGCATAGTTGTAGATCTGTGAAAAAAGAAAAAAAAGAGAAAACGGATGGCACGAGCGCCACCAAAAAGTGCCTTATAGGCCATTTGCACGCGTGTGACCAAGATAACACTGGCAAACCGTGATCCAGTTCACAAGGTGCTGGGCAAACTTTGCAACCGTCAATGTATCCATAGTGACCTGAAAATGCCGGGAAATGTTCAATTTTGAATTTTCCCTTGTTCAAGCACTGCATTTGCAGTACGCACTTTCAACAAGCGACACTTTTCCTGGCGTGCAAAGATAATCGCGAGCAAAAGGGCCTCGGCCAAGGTAAAAAATCAGCTGCACGCGTGTGTCCAAGTTTATCGTATCCGAGTAAATATCCTTGGAAACGGTACGATAGAAGTAAGTTTGCCTGTCGTGTGAATGGCCGTTAAGTGATACAAGTACTGTATGTGCAGAAATATTCGTCTGGAATTTAATAGATGATATGCCAAATAACGTGCAACTAGACTTGAGAGGGCATTGCAGAGTAGTTGCATACAAAGTTCAAAGCTGTACGGTTACCCGTGACTTGCATTCCTGCAGAGCTCAGGGCCTACCATGTACACATTGTAGTATAATTTGTATGCAACTTGTGTGCGATGCCCTCTCAAGTCTAGTTGCGTCTTTTTCGTCCAAGGAGCTTTTGGACTAAATTAAATGCAGGACTAATGTCGATTTGTCCAGCTTTTCAATACAGTCTTATGATCCATGGCCGAAATTTTCAACTGGACGAACTCCCTTTCTTTGGAGTTGGACGAAATGTTCTGCCTGTACAGTACTGCATCCAGCATGTGCAAGCACCAGGGTTGCAAGGCAAACCATAACTAGCCGCCGATCAGTGTCCCTGCCCGCCTCACAGGGGGGGGGGGGGGGGGGCTGCTGAATATATCATGAGGCACCATTGATCACCCATTGTGTCACTTCGTGGCAGGTTTTACAGCCGGGGTCGGGAACTAGATGCAGGCTAAGGAGTGAAGTTCGATGCACAACGCAATTGTGCGCCGCGAAAGGCCAGACATGCCAGCCTGGATAGTGCACAGTCCCATCCACAGGAATACCAGCATTGGCATGTGCTACCTACAGAGGTGCATACACCGCTCCAACACTGATTTTAAGGAATACTCCGTACAGGGAGCAGATCCACAGTGCTTCACGGTACAGTGGAAATTGGATAAAACGGCAATTTAAACATGATATTCAGAAAGGCTACCCTAACTGTTATCACACTAACAGAACCTAACAGTTAGTACAGTAAAACCAAGAGTACATGAAAACCAGAGTGTGCAGCTTGCGGCTTTTTCTGCTATGGGCGTCTGTCACGGTGGAATTCCGTGATTACATCATATTTGACGCAGATCTGAGGTGGGAAATGGGGTAGTGCGTACACATGAGCTGCAGTTGTGCAGAACGAGACCTGCTTGAATTCTGCTTGTACGCACTACATCACTAAAATGATGTAATCACGGAATTCCGCCGTGACAGCCACCCATCCGAGCTGCACACTCTAGTTTTCATGTACTCTTGGTAAAACCTGTCTAAGACGACCACTCAAGGGACATTCAAAATGTGGTCTCTGTTGCCACGTGGTCTCCTTATCCAGGGTCATTTGACTGGAAACAGCATCCTTTGGTCCTGGCAGCAGTGGTCTTCTAGGACAGGTGGTCGCCTTATCCGAGTGGTCGCCTTGACAGGGTTTACTGTAATAAACTCAATCTACTGCAGCTATATGCAATTTTGCTATATCTAATCTCCACTAAATACATGTAGATCCTCAATGGCATGCCATATATCAGATGATAGCTTTCCCACCTTGTCACATAGGGAAAGCCAGAAACTTTCGCCGCGCGCAAATGTTGCGTTTCCAAGAATTGCGCTGATTCACGAATGAGCAACTAACTTTCGTGATTTTATCTCTTCAGTTGGATTCTGATTTGTTTACAATACTTGGTCCGCCCAGTTAAAATTGGCGCTTATCTTCATACTTGTCTCAGGAAAGAAATACGAATATTTGAAGCAAGCCACGATCACAAAGCACTATATACATGATTATTTACATGTCAGTAAGCAACTCAGTCGAAAATTCAAGCAAGTTACACATCCTCCTCGCCACTATCGTCGCTGGAGGAAGAGCTCAAAATGTACGATCCGGACAGCTGCTGCACGGGTCGTTTCATAGCTTGTTCAACTTCTACTCGTCTCGAATCAGGCTCAAACTCAAAGGCAGTGCGTGCCTGTCACCTTCCCATCAGAAGCTGAGTGAGACTGCCCGCATGTTGACTGTAAGTGTTATCCCCGTTCGTCGCAATAATGCGTCTTTGTTTGAGACAAAAACGCAACGCCATATCAGTGTCCTTTTTCAAATCACCTCTTGGATCTTGCGCTTGTCGTACTTGCTGATCAGCACCCGTACTTACGCGAGCCGCTGGCGCTTGAAGATCTACATGCAGCGCAGTGATAGCTTCCGCTTGATGTAGCACCTGTGGCCTGTGCGTACTGCACCTACAACGCCGTGCACCAGCCACCAGGCTTTTCGGCTAGTTTCCTGAACGTCCTTTGCACGAGTGTTTCTCTCAGGACTTGGTGTTTTCTTTGATTAGCTTCTTTGGCCTGTCCTCTGTGAGCTTCAAAGTGTGTCCGCCGGATTGGTCTCACTTTCTGGAGATATCGACATGAGCTGCAGTTTCTTCGTCAGCGATTTGCTGGTGATAGCCCTTCACTAGGCGCTGTACTGTGCAAGCAATGAAATTCAAGCTCGCGAAGCGCTTTTTCAGTTTTCTATACCTCCCCGGGTAAACAATCCTTGCCATCAAACAGCTGGAAGTAGACAGAAACTGTATTGTCCATCGCTCTGAAATGCGAACATCCTGACCTATTTTACGGACTCGAGCGGAGGTTGCAGTGTTTTCTTGCGCTGACGGAAGTGTTCGTCGGCGGCAGCTCCGTCAAAAAGACTCAAACGAACCGATCGCAACTTCTGTGATGGTTTGTGCTGCCATGTCGTCGGATGCAATGGTCAATGGTTATGTTCGGATGGTGAATCGGTGGTTCCATGCCGTGTGGCACAGGCAGAACACCAAAAAATCAAGTTAGAAGATAAGCGCCAATTTTAACTGGGCGGACCAAGTACACAGAGCTGTTTATAGCGATGATATTATTTCGCGAAAGTTTCTCACTTCACAGTATAATGTAGTGCTACACAAAAAGGGCATCAAGGCAGCAGCTCGAATAGAGTGCTCAGTACACAACATGCGCAGAGCAATATACACAAACACTGGAGGCGAACGTCTGTTCAGCTGAAACTTCAAGCTGCACAGCCCTTCGCGTTCTTGTAGAGCTAAATTATTGAATGTTTAAACTGTTTCTATTGACTCAGAGGAGCCCAACCCATGTACAGAGAATCTGATTAAATGCACAAAGGTTAAGAATGCAGAAAAAAATTCAATTCACACATAGGGCGTCGGGTAGGTCGCAAAACAACACGTTAATAGTTATGCGCCACTGCTTCGTAATTGTTGTCACACCACGGTGCACGCTGTGCGAGGTTACTGCACACTGGCGACTTTTGTCATTCCCTCCATGTCATTGAGGTCACACATGTGACATTGTTGTTGCTGGCTACTCTTCTTTGCACCGTTCTATCACCTCTCTGCTGGACAAAATCCAATGTTCTTGTTTTTCGTTTCTTTTGTTGTTGTTGCCTATATTCCACCTGATGAGAAGGCATGAAAGTAGACTTGTGGAATGTCATCAAGGCCGTCGTTTGTGCAGAGCCTGACGTTTGTCATTGTCCTACGTGTGATTGCATTTTCCTCCCAAAGAAAACTCCCCACTGCAAACTGCCTGTGAACACCAGATGCTGCTGCTACAACCCGTCAGCACTCAAGCCGCCAGCCATCCTGACTCAGGAGTGGTCCGCGCCGCAAGCAGAAGACAGCTACTCTAATCCATAACGCTACCTGCGGTAAGTCATCCTCGGGTATCCACTTCTTGAATTCCATCTCCCAGTTGTGAAGCGTTGAGGCAGGCGCGACCACCATGATGGACTTCACCTTGAACAGGTCATTATAGCGACCACACATCAGCACGTCCATGAACGCTATTGCCTGAGGTGGACAAACAAGAAATGCATGCATGGCGAAGTCAAGTCAGCGCAATGAAGCCTGGCACACAGAACCAAAGCATGAACTCACAGCGCTTCAGCACTCAATGCCACCGCCATTACGTATAGTTGTTTAAATTGCCAATACCATGCGCACGCACGCCCACATACACACATGCTTTCATGCAGGCGCACACAAGCGTGCACACACGCGCGTACACACACACGCACACATGCACAGACCGACAGACACACTAACCTGCAACGTCTTTCCCAAACCCATACAGTGGGCCAGCACAGCACCGTTGCCCCAGGCCTTCTCTGAGTCGATATTCTTGTAAGTCTCCACGCAAGCATTGTACAAGAACCTGACACCCTCCACCTGCAGATGACACACCAAACAGGACTACTAAGAACCTAACACTGGCTTATACACCAGCACTGGAAAAACATTGCACAATAGCAAAGTGCATGATTGTGATGGCTGATGCGAATGGTGCCGCTACATGATGCAGCAATCACATCTGGCACAAGGTGCACTCATATTATATTTCGTAGAGACCGTGCTTCTACGAGAGACTGTGCTAGCAAAAGAGACAACACAGTAATGCCATTTAGGTGATTATAGCCCAGTTTACAATTTGGTCCGAAAACCTTTTACTTGTAGACAAGAAGGATGGCATTGATTTCTTGGCGAATAGCACAGTTTCTACAGTGGCTAATCCAGTACAGTCAGACCTCGCTTATCCCGTCCTCTTTTGTCCGGATCCCTCGCCATCCGGAAGAAAATCGTTGGTTACCGATCTACAGCATACTGTAAATATACAAATTTTCGGCAGCTATTTAATTTCGGCTATATTCGGCACCGACCCAAAACGCCTAAATTAAAACGCCGATGAAATTTTTCACAGCATCTGTCGCACTATACCATGCCCTCTACCCCACGCCGAAAATAAATCGCCGCCGAAATGGCAAAAATCGTGAAGTGCCGAAATTTTGCAGCGCCGAAATTTTGTATATTTACAGTATGCCATGCATACATACAATATGTGTGTTCGATTATCCGGTTCCCTCGCCTATCCGGATATTTTTGTGGAAAACGGATGTGGGCGGTTATGCGAGGTCTGACTGTATATAGCTACGTGGCACTGCATGCTGTATGTCCAGATGCTCCAAAATGATAGCTGGGCTTTCAGTCAAAGGTGCAGCGTGTTACAGCGCATGGCAGGAAGAATTCGGACGAGTACCGGCAAGGCTAAAAGCAGTGTACGCTGTTGCATTTCGATCTGCCTAAATTGGTCCTGCAAGCAGTCACAGACACTCCGTGCCAGCTAAGATACGCATATCTCCAGATTCAGAACACGGATGCAGACAAATCCACAGCTAACCTGATGTGGCTTCAGGCAGGCGGTGAAGTAGTCGGACACCTGGATGACAGGCTCCTTGGTCTCGGCATCCACCTCCAGTACGATGGACTTCTTCCCCTCGCAGGCATCGTCGATGAGAATGGCCTGCTGCTTGACACGCCGCCTGCGATCCTCCTCCTCCTTGACGGCGTTCCGTGTGCTAGCCTTGAGGCGGTCCTCATCGATGATTCGGCGCAGCTTGCGGCGCGTCTGCGAGTTGTCCACGCTGGAGTCATCGTTACTGTCCTTGGCGTCGTCGTCGCTACTGCTGCTGCTGCTAAGCACGACCACCTTCTGCTTCTTCTTCTTTTTCTTGCTCGGTGCGTCTTCTTTCAGCACGTGAGGGCCACGAGTGCCAGACGAGCGTCCTTTCGCCTTCGTACCTGTGTGTACCACCAAACATAGGGGAAAAAAGAACAGTCAGTGCCGCAAAGACACTCCTGATCTGGTTAGCATCAAAAGAACTTCTCCTTTCCGCAGTTGCCATAATAATGCTCACACCCAAGTGCATATGTGTGATCTGGCACTAAAGCTGTGGAAGAGCGAATCCAGAAGTGGCTAGTCTTGTTTTACTACATGTATTCAGCCATGTTTGTCATATACGACCAATGCCCCCCCCCCCCCTCCTTACCTTTCCGCTGTGCAGCTGTTGACCTGGTACGCATAGAAAGTGGAGTATCATCATCACTCGACGATGACAAACTCAGCGGACTCTCCTCCTCGGCCTCTGCTCCAGTATCGGAAAACTCATCAGAAGATTCAAGCAGTCTCCGAGACGGAGATGCCTGGAAGCCAGCGCTGTCATTCGAGCTGTTGTTGCCTTCGTCTTGGCCAGACTTATCAGAGTCTGAGAGATCGCTGAGCTCAGACTCGGAGCTTGTCATAAAGAAAGTACGGCGTTTCCTTCCCGGCTTGGCCTTCTGTTGGGGCCGTGGAGAACCTTGCTGGTGTAGGGCATCCTCCGTCCTTTTCCTAGGCGTAGCTTGCTTCCGCTTGCGACCCGCTGGCGGTGTATTCAATGCCGGAGCTGCTGGGGACGAATGTCTAGTCTCACTGGCGTCCTCGTCACATACTTTCTCAGCTGATGACGACCAGGCACCTTGAGAGAGTGGTGGGTCTGCTGGCTTTCTCGGCGACAATTTCCTCAGCTGGACCTCGAAATCAGAAGACAGTTCCTCCGTTGACGACCTGGATGTCTTGCGTGCATCACGTGATATTCCAGCACCACCACCTGGGCGACAATCCTCCATGGCAGAAAGGGAAGAAGTTGACGCTTTTCGTGGCAGCACACTCGCGCGGTCTGCAACGGGACTGCCAGCTGCTGGGCTGTCTCCTGAGTGATGACCAGGACTTGGCGATGGCGAGTAGACAATAGGACTGTCAGGGCTGGCTTCTTGAGAAAACTCCGGTGCGTCTGATCGCTGGGTGTCTTCTACATTGGCATCCGTATTATTGGCAGATGCAGATGACTTGTCAGAGCTATCAATCAGTATAAACACGCTGTCCTTCTTCGGTCCGCTACTACGATTACCAGGACAACCAGCACCACCACCACTGCTTACAGTAGGACTGCTTTCCAGTCCCTCGGCAACACCGTTGGATGGTTGTCGGCGACGGCGGCTAAATCTGCGGCGACATGCCGTAGGGGACAGCCGTGTGTCACCAGCACCATTGACTGTTGTAGCGACACCACGGCCAGTGCCTTCACTGTCCGTATCCTTAATCTCCTTTTTCACGGTCGGCACAGCAACATCCACTTCAGCCGGACTATCGTGATCGCTTTGCGGCACAGGTGCCGGTGATGCTGCCATCTCTGGTGACATATCACCATCTAAGTGTGGCCCACTGTCACCATCCTCTCTCATAGGCGAACGAGTCCGAGACCCAGCCTGCTGGTGCTTTGCCTTCTGCTGGTGCCGTCGACGACGGGCTGAACGCACAGAGCTAACCTTTTCCCGGGACACACTGTGCTCAGAACTGGAGCGTGCACTATCCTCCGGTGGATCTTCCACATCGGGCTGCTGATGCGCATGGCGTTGCGCCGCGACATCGCCAGGTTCACTGTCATCGGACGCACGGCAGACGTCACGTTCGGGCACCTCTTCCCGTTCGCTGACCGGCTGCAATGCTGTCTGATCCGGCGGCTCGACGTCACTTCTCTGCGATCCAACGCTAGAAGAAGACGCACCAGCTTTCTTCACCTTGAGTTTGCGGCGCTTTCGCCGCCGAAGGCCCCATCGGCTCACTCTCGTCTTGTTAGGCATCGTATCTGCGGCGTCCTCCGAACAAACATTTTGCCCGACGTCAGCATCGGATTCAGACTTGCGGACAGTGCTGTCGACTTCTGGTGTTTGGTTACGCTGGTCCGCCGGTGCTGGTGAGGCGGCGTTCATGCCATCATCATCAGCATCACTGGGGGCCTTGGCGGCGACATCATCATCCCCATCATCATCATCATCATCATTACTTGTCGCAAGCAGATTGTTGGATCGACCGTGGTTGGTACGCTGCTTATGGCGTTGAGTGTTCTCCACTACAGCAATCCCATCGCTATCCGAGTGGCTAGTTGAGTAGAATATCTGCGGCCGTATAATTACCGCTTTGGTCTGCAAATCTCCGCTGCCATGCCCAATGGAGTTAGTCCCCGCAGCTTCCTGCACTGTAGCAACTGATACCGAATTTGCTGTAGTTTCCGCTGTTTCTAATGCTGCTGCTGCAGCTGCTCTAGCCATGGGTTCTGGCTTTCTTTCGCGTTTCAAGGCTGGTGAACATTGTTCACATGAGTCGCTGAGGGAGTCCTCGCTGACATCTTGCCGTCGCCGCTTGCGAGCTTTGCCTTTCTTCTGGCCCAGTGTCACAGCACACAGTTCTTGCAGAGGGGCAATCGCCTGTGGCTCGCAGCTGAAGCAGCTCCAGACGTCCGACGCCACCACTTTCTGCAAGCCGACAAACCCCAAGTTCAGATGGATGCAGCAAGTACAGAAGACGAACGGGCAGCTGTCGCAGCAGACCAGCTGTGCATCTGTCCTCTCGCTGGCGCATAGCTGGCATGTGTCCTGATTCTCGCCGTCTTCTGCGACAAACTTGGTGCGCTTGAACTGTCGGTGACACACCTAGAGGCACACACACAGATACATAGTATTAGATAGACAGATAGACAGAGCTCACTGACTTGTATGGCAAGGTACGTTTGGGCCTGGTTTAAATCTGGCACTGGAAAAATTATTTTTCACTGCTATCAGGTCCGGCCTCGTTTTCTCTGTGCTGCGCTGATGAGTCCACAGAGGACGAAACACTTCTGTCCACAGATTGAGTAAACACACAGATACATAGCTTCAACCAGCCGGCAGCACCACACGTGTATCTAACAAACGTGTGCACTCGGTACACGCAGACGGTCAAGACTGCCATATCGAGATAGCACGAATGCCAGTCCCATGGATTCTCATAACACCCACCCAAACTGCACTTCGGCAGACTGACTCCCACCACTTCGACGAGACATTTTGCAATTTACTACCACTAATCTTCAAAACAAAATACCAGCTACTGGTAACTGATTAGAAGTAATGGCGCACTAGTACATGCTGTGGGACAATACCTACATCAACATGGGCATTCGAATGCATATAATTTCAAAAGCGATCATGTGTTTTCGCACTACTTTGAACGTGTTTTTTTTTACAAATGCTCACCAGACCCACATATCACGTTACGGACATTATTGCTATCGCCCTCTGAGGATCTGGCTGATAGTACTAGATGGCTCTGATTTGTCTAAATACACAACAAGCTTCAGTTGTAGAAGTCCAGAAGATACTGGCGGAACTCGTCGAATGCAGTCATGTAGCTACCGGTATGCGAAGAATGAAATTCTCTCTTACCTTGCACATGAGAATGTTGAGTACTGGATGCGTCCTTGCTGAGCCATGGTTTACCACCTCTCCGCACGCAGTGCAGCAGACAGCAACAGTCTCCATAAGTAAGTAACGCCGATGTTTAGAATAATACGTCGTTGCTCATTTTAGCTTCTGCAAACAGCAATCATCCAATGAAAAATAAAAAACAGACTTGAAAAAGCCCATTCACCGAACATCAAAATGAGTCCAAATCAAATCAGTGCATTTTCTGTACTGTACAGGCGATGCGCCGTTTTGCGAAAAGTCGACGTTTAGAGGTAGTTTTATTATCCCAAATGCCAAAGCGCGGGAAAATTCAAATGCAAACAGCTGCATTTTGGAGACGTATTTTTTATCGACAGTCGGGCAGTGAATGCCAATTTTCTCAAGAAGAAGAGTATTCAGAGGCATTCTTGTGCATTTTCCGTTGATACTATACGTGTGCCCTAGTGTTTGCATGAGCGAGGGTGGTGGTTTTGCTAAACCGTTCGCATGGCGGGCGGGTTTGTAAGAAGAAAGGCTTCAGCCATTGAGGAGCGACGAGAAACCTGTCATTTCGTGCCATTTGAGTTAGCAGTAGCACCGGACAATACTGACACATGTCTGCGGCAGCAAACATAGTGTACTAACGGATCAAAAACAGCCACAATGTGTGTCACTGCGGAAACAGACTGTAGAGGTGCATTTGCAAAGCTGCTGATTTTCGTCGTCTTTCCATGCACAGGGTACGTATCATGCCCTTGGCATAGGCCAAAGCACGAAAGCTTTAGTTGGACACCACCCACAATCTCCACGTGGGTCCCAGTGTACCTGCTGCTGCCGATGAGAACCGCCCTGTAAGTGGTTTACCCACCCATGTGTCCTCAATATGACTGAGAATACATCAGTAATATGCCATAAGCATTGGAAACCTGTACAGTTCAATCCAATTTAGACCAGAATGACTGCATTGGTTGGAAATGCATTGCACCATTCCACTGAAACGTTAACACACAAGAACAGGAAAAGGATGTAACAGAAAACGAAAGAATGTAACACAAAAGATAATCCCAAACCATCCAGCGGAAAAAGAACGTGGGAAGAAAAGCACTGGCTGGTGTAGGAAGCAAATACTGCAAATACTAGGCTGTACGGGAAGTACCAAATTATGTGGTTGTTGAGCATCTCCTGAGAGTCGCCAATGGGATAACGGAATGAGAGAGATCGACTAATTTTCGTCAAAACTGTCACAAGCCAGCAGCTGGTGATTGTTGAGGAAGGTTGTTACGCCACTGACCGACACCACTGCTGTGGGTAATGATTACGTGCATCAATCATTGACATTGTGCAGCACCTGGCAGCAATAAACCAGACAAAGCAGTACAATACCATGCAGAAGATGAAATGCTTGACGGAGTATGATAAGTAGCAGACAAACTGTTACACAATGGAGCAACATTATTTGCTAAAATGGCATAAATATATTATTACTTTGACTAATACCCTCCACATAACATTCCCGCTACAAGCATTACCAACTCTACTGTCCCTGATGCAGGAGGGACTAGTGGCACACATTCCTACTGCATACCCCAAAGCTAGGAAAGGTGGCATCATGCTCATGTGAGCCAGTTGGGTACCACCCAAGCTCTGCACCGGGCTCTGTCCAGGTGCCTACACACAACCCTGGAGGACGAATGCAACCCCAAAACACGATGTAGTAAAGGGCAAGTCCATGGACACAGCTGTCAAAGTTATCCACCAAATTGACCTACAGCAGGCCAATGTACAGTGGAGGAGAGTACCGAGAAACTAAGAATAAAGGACTTTTCGTCTGTTTGTCAGACTATCTGTCCCCGGGGAAAATCGCTATTCCGCGACCGCGTTTTTCCCCCCCGCGTTTTTTAAAAGACCGTGTTTTCCGCGATTTTCCCGCGTTTTTTTTTACTTTTTTGTTGCGCTACACGTACACACAGTGCACTGTTCGGTTGACCGTTGTGAGCCGTTGACGTCAAGTAGAGAGTCTACGTGTAGGGCGCGTGCTCCCTAGCATACACATGGCACATGACCTGCTCCCCGGTAAAACTGCCTCATATTAACTGCAAACTTGCCGCATATCAATAATATTCACCGCAAATTCACCGCAAATTATGCCATATTTACCCGCAAATTACACCGCAAATTCTGGGATTTTTTCCGCGATTTTCCCTGGGGACAGGACTATCCACCCCAAGCTATGGTCATGAGGGTGGACAATACTGGATGGTGACAATTCCACCTCGCTCTCGTTTTCTCCCCTGGAATGAAGCTTCACACACATACCTGTAGTACCTGTGGTGTCTACAAGTAGTATGAACAGTCCTTCACTTACTCCACTGCTTTGTATAAAAGCCTGTCTTATGCAGAAGCCTGTTCTGAACACAAGCCTGAGTTTCAAGATATGCAGTTAGCACAATAATGTGGATTTTGCATCGGCAACCATAAAAAGTTTGGTTTGACTACAAACATAATGCAACATAATGTAAATAGAGGCCTAGCCACCACACCGGCTTCTACAGAAATACGCCTGGCTTTCATACACGACATTACAGTAAGTCATCCAGTTCGCACTCACCCACTTCAGTTGCTGCTAGCAGACGTATTAGACGCATACAGCCAGTCAAGTACGCTTGCAGGGATCTTTTCTCAACGGGGAGTAACGGCTGGCCATAATACCTACAATGGTGAACATAGCAAAAGGGAAGGGCATTCAAGACCTGCAGCTCCATGTATACATGCCGAGTGTGAGCGTGGTGTCTGTGGAGAAAATCGACAAAGAGGTACCCTGGCAACAAATGTAGTGCCAGGATGCCAGCAGAAGGCTACGTGGCACACCAGTCCAACATGTAAATCAACTACCATCCACTGGTCACACTAGCCCAATTGATGCAAGTACCACAGTTGAAGTTCCATGGCCATTTGCCTGCCACATGCCAATCACAACAAGCACTGAGGAAGAAACTGAGACGAAGCGACGTCAAAGCAAAACACTAACACAGACAGGCGGGTTCCACACACAGTGAAACTTCAGTATGAAGTACCGTACTGGCAATATATGTTGCCGCGTAACGCAGGGGGGTGCGGCGTAACGCGCGACCAGGCTAGTGCGACAAATTTTCGTTGCGTTCGTAACGCGCGTCCGGCGGGGTGCGGCGATCTTTTCATTGCAAAAAAGGCTGAAAACTGAGAAAGCACGTGTACCGCGTGGTGAAAAGTTCAAAACTGGACACAGCAGGAAGTCCTGCAATAGCAAAAAAAGGACTGCGGCAATATAGAAACCTGTGTAACGGCTCCTGTGCGACTTTGCATGTAACGCCCTGCGTGCGGTAAACATGTGCCAATGTAACACTTCATGGCCTCACTGCGACCATATATATTGCCAGTACGGTAGTACCAAGAGTCCATGGATGGCGGTGCCGTAAAACCTACAAGTGGAATTCAGCTACACAGGAATTGTTGTCTCTGATTATCGCTTAATTTAAGCAACAAAATCTACTATCAACTACCCACCTCTTCAAGGTAGGGATTGTGAAGAACCAATGACCCCTAGTCATGGTGTGGGGCTCTGACAAACATCTTGCAGCAGTCAGACAGCCTGTCACAGGCCTGACAAAAGGCTGTGGGTGCAAGTCCGGCTGCAGGATCATACAATGCGAGTGCAAAAGGCAAATCTGTTATGCAGGCCAGGGCTCAACAACACCTCCGCGAGGGAAGAAAGCGACAGTTCCAGTAAGCAAAAGGTTGTTTCATTTGAGGAGACTGAAAAGCAAGAAACCAGCAACGAATTGGACCAAGATTGAGTCAATGTGCACACAGGTGATGCGTGCGTGTTATTGTTTACTGGAATTATGGCGTATATGCTAGAAACATGGAATGCGCTACGAATTCTGACCTGAAATACACAAATATACACATTTGCCTGAGTTTCAATGAGCATGGATAGACGTGGAACACAATACTTCCACTGAAAATGGTGATATACCGGAAACACAATCCATCTGCTGCTATATGGGCGAGAAACTATTGTAACCTGGGATATTTTGAAACTTAGGTGTGATGAAATGTCACTTTCGTGGATTTTACACGTATCACAAAAAAAATCTTTCATTTCGTGCCATTTGAGTTAGCAGTAGGTCTGGACATAGACATGACCAGATCTTTACACAGGTTGGTTGGGACTATCTTTCTGCTATCTCGGATATTGTGTAAGATGTGATGGAGTCCATTACTGGCTGAACACCAAAGGAGGGAGGAAATTTCTACGACTGTACTGTAAGAAAACGACAACACGAAACTTCCCAATGGCTCAATAGCTGACCCCAAAAAATATTACGGATCACTTTAGTACTTACTCAAGTCACATCGAATTCCTTATCGGCGGGCTCCAGGCTGTGTAACGCCTCCAGTGGGTCTGAATGTTCGACAACGTCAGCCATTACTTCTTCACGGAATCGTCATCTTCACCTCTGTACAAAATGAGCTGACCGGGATAATAAAAAAGGGCTTTTTTTCGCTCTGGCGCATCGACTGTGTAGACCTGAGCTGCGTCACTTTCGTCATGATCGTCAGTGCAGCCGCGCCGGCGAAATGCATACCGCGTAGATCTACCGGTACCGGTACTCATGCCACCATCACGGGCGAGTGCATAATATCAAGAGTACATGGGGGGTTATGTACTCTTGATAATATCAAGAGTACATATATGGTTATGTACTCTTGATAATATCAAGAGTAGATCAAGAGTAGATAAACAAGAGTGTGCAACTCCGGATCTCTCCTGCACAATCTGCAGGTACCCCCGCCCACGGCGGAATTTTTTGTTGACGTCACCTTTTTTCAGAAGAACGCGCATTTTGCCGCAGAGCAGTGTGAGAGCACGTGCTGGGCACCGAGCACCGAAGTAAGTTGTACTTGTAAGTTGTAGTGTAAAGCCCAGCCAATGGCCAAGTGCACGAGGGAAACTCTCCAAAAGGCTCGCAAGCCTCGCAGCGCTAGCGCGTGCGTCGTCGAAAAGATTACGTCAACAAAAAATTCCGCCGTGGCCCGTGGGCCAACCCATCCATCCGCGAGTTGCACACTCTTGTTTATCTACTCTTGATAATATCAAGAGTGCACACTCTTGGTTATAATTATTTAGAAAAGCGATCCTGTCAGCTTTTCTATT